TCGTGAAAGTAAAGGGACACAAGGCAACCACAAAATTAGCGTTAAGTGCTAGGCAGAGATGACCGGAGGAATTATGTGTGCACACGGTGTTCATAGCATTATTCATAATAGCCAAAAAGTGAAACAAACCAAATGTCCATCAATTGATGAATGGATAAACAAAATATGGTATATCTAAAAGGATTATTATCCAGCAATAACAAGGAATGAAGTATCAGATACATGCTACAACATGGATGAACTTGAAAACATGCTAGCGTAAGAAGTCGGTCACACTGTATGATTCCATTTATGTATGTCTGGACTAGGCAAAACTAGAGAGACAGAGAGTAGATTTGTGGTTGCTCAGGGCTGGGGGTGTGGGAGAACATGGGAAGTGACTGTTAATGGCACAAGGGTTCTTTTGGGGTGATGAAAATGTTCTAAAATTGGTTGTGGTGATGGTTGCATAACTATGAATATACCAAAAACCAAGAACTGTATACTTTTAAGTGGGTAAATGTTTTTGTATGTGAATTATATCTCAATAAAGCTATTATATTTTTTAAAAGAGAGAGAAAAGGAGTGATGTAAAAGAAAAGGACGGGGCGGTCTCTTAGAGTGGTCAAGGAAAGCTTCTTCAAGAGGTGACATTCAGGCTGAGAGCTGAATGACAAGAGCTAGCCTGGTGAAGACAGGGAGAGGCACTGCAGACAGAGGGAGTAGCTAGGGCAAATGCCCCGAGGTGAGAATGAGCTTGAAAGGGTCTCAGGGACAGGCAGGCAAGTGTGGCTGGGTCTAGGAAACAAAGGCGAGAGCGCAGGAAGTGAGAGTGGAGAGTGCAGAAATCTGGAGTAAGGAATCTGGATTTTATGTATACTGCCAAGGGAAACGTCTGGAGGAGTTTAGATAGTTTAAAGCTAAGTCTAGTGGCTGCATGGAGGATGAATGGTAGAGGGCAAGAGTGGAAGCGGAAAGACCCCTCAGGACAGGGCCACAGTTGTCCAGGCAAGAGGTACTAAGGGCTTGGACTCAGGGAATGGTAAAAATAAGATTAAACATTTGTCTGAGCACCTTGCATATATTAACTGGTATAAACCCTGGCTCTGCCACTTACTGGCAAGTTACCCTTAAGAGCCTCTATCGCCTCATTTATAAAATAGGGCTAATAACAGAACCTACCTTATAGAGTGTCTGTGAGGATTATTAGGTGATACAACTATGTAACATGCTTGCCCAGAGTCTAGTACACAGTAAGTGTATGGTAGTTACTATTATTGTTAATTCTGCATAGACTTAAATTTTCTCCCAACCTTTTTATGTTCGGAAAACACATAATCAGAGACACAAATCCCCTCTCCCACTGCCTCCAGCTCCAGCTAGCCAGGCTTCTGTTGTGTTTCCCCAGAAAGCCCATGTGCTGGTTCTTCTGAGGTGGGGGACAGGGGCCCCCTTATCCTTGAGTGTGCTGACACCCACCTCTCCACAGACCCATGTGTTTGACTTGTCCATCAACAAGTATGAGGCCATCTGCAACCAGCCCGTGGTGGCCAAAAAGAAGAACAAGATCACCCATGTGCAGTTCAATCCTATCCACCCCATCATCATTGTGGGTGATGACCGTGGGCACGTCATTTGCCTCAAGCTCTCACCCAACTTGCGCAAGACGCCAAAGGTACAGACTTGGGTAGTTTGGGCAGCTGTAAGAAGTAAAGTCCAAGGTGGTGGGGGTTGAGAGAAGGGGGAGGAGCCAGGGGGTGGCCCCCAGCTTTCTAGCTTGGGAAACCCAGGGTCAGGATGGTGTCATTTGCCCAAATACGGAGCACAGGAGAAGCAGGTTTGTGGAGAGAAAATTAGATCAGTTTTGCCATGCTAAATCTAAGTTACCTGTGAAACTTGCAGGTGGAGACATCGGTAAGTAGGCGACTATATGGGTCCAAAGCCTGGAGAAGCACATAGACATCATTGGCTTGTTTAGTGTAGACCAGATTACCCAGGAAGGGGGCTTGGGGCTTAGTCACTGCTTCATTGGCCTCAGCTCCAGTGGTCCTTGAGCTGGGAGCTGGGGGTCCACACAGGGAAGAATGTGAAAAGGAAAAGAGGTTAACTAGGTCAGCAGCTAGGCAGTCCTCCTTGTGAGCTCCGGTTTCTTTCTGGGATTTGTACTGATCTGGAGGCCCTGCCCAGAGCCCCAAAGCCCTGAAAACAGGCTATGGAGGCCAGAGCCAGCACCTCAAAGTCTAGATTTCAGAGTCCTGATTCAGACCTAAGCATCCAGGCCTTCGAATCCAGAGCCCAGTCCTGCCCATTTGGGTGCTAAGTGAAGATACGGAATTTGCTTTCTGCCAGGTTCTGGGCCAGGATCAGAGCTGAGCCAGGGCTGGGCCAAGTTGCCCTGGTGACTACACCTCTCGGTTGCAATATGAGGCATTTATTTGCGGTTTGAGGCAAGGGCAGGGCCCTGTCTCTTTCAACTAGTGATACCTGCCCCGCCCTGCGCCCTTACCAAAGCAGGGGTCAACGTAACATCCCTCTGGTACCTGCCTGGTCTATTCCGCACCATGACCAGGAGACAAGGGCTAGGAGTTTGGCCGGGCCTGTAATTGTAGCCAGCTGGGGGAGGGGGTGGACTTGGCTATAAATACTCAGAAGGCTGCTAAGCGCCTGCAGCTGTGGCCTAGAGGCTGTGGTGGGCTGGGGGTGGTGGGGTGGGGTGGGAAGGGATGGGATGGGGTGGAGGGTCGGGCATGGTCTGAAGCTCTTTGCTGAGCCCAGCAAGTTGGTCTCAAGGAGGGGGAAGGAGACAGCACAATTTGTGGAACAGATAAAATCTGCTCTTAATATAGTGAGGAGAGAGACCCAGGCTTGAGCTGGCAGAGCTGGACAGCCCAGTGGGAGGGGCAAGGGTACAGCCATCACACCTGGAGGGTGGAAGATCTGGGTGGGGGCCTGCCCTGCTCACTCTGACCCAGAGAGGCAAGGATCTCCCACAGTCCCAACTCCTCTCAGAGCAAGGGTCAGCCCTAGCTAAGAGGGCTGGGCTCTGCGTATCTGGGGACCTGTATCTCTGAAGCCCTGAGGATATGGGTACCTGGGGAGCAGAGGACCTGAGCGGGTGACAGCTGGGGGCTAGTGCTCCAGTGGATTGGAGGTTCCCGTGAAATTGTCATCTGATCCTATCAGTAGCCAAGTGATTTGTTCAAAAGGAAGTCCTCTGAGCATCCTTACTGCCCCTCCTCTTTGGGCTGCAGTCTCCCTGTCCTTCCCAGGAGGGTTTGGCCAGAGGCCCAACTTCCTGACCCGGGAAGCTTCCTCTGGTGTCAGAGCACAGCCTGTCAAAGGTCAAAGGCTATCTTTCCCTCACTACAGTACAGGTGGGAAACTGAGCCCAGAAAGGCAAGGGACTTGCCCAAAGTCACATAGGGAGTTAATGACAAAGCTGGAACTATAAGCCAGGTCCCAAACTCCCAGGGGATGGGGTGAGGCCAAGAAGAGAACACTAACTTGATTTGGAAGGGAGGATAGTTAAAGGAAAAGACATCTTTGTCCTCTGCCTAGAGAGTGTAGAGGTGAGCTGGGTAGTGGCAAAGGCACTGGGCCACAAGGGGGGGTAGGGGACAGGTTTGGGAGCAGGTGCGGCGGTCACACCAGGAGGAAATCTGAGCTCCGCATGGTGTCAGTAGCCAGGATGGGGCCAGGAAGGGGCCTGCTGGCCATGCACTCTCTCCTCTCCTCACAGCCCAGGCCAGACCCAGGCTGGGTCCTCAGCAGGCGAGGCTGGAGCGGGTGCCAGCGAGCAGTGGGCACAGGTGGCTGAGAGGCAGGGCAGGCGGGGGGTGGGGGCTCTGGAGCAGAGGAAAGGCAGGAAACGGCAGCCGCCAGCCTAGGCCATAGCCCGCTGCCTGGACAGAAGGGAGGATGGGACTGGGGCTGGTCTGCTGTGGAGCTCTTGGGGCCTGTGACACATACCCCAGTGTCCCAATTCTCGTTTTCTCGGGGCATTAGAGTGCCCTGTAGGCTGGGGTGAGGGCTCATAAATTTAGGATCTGCTCTTCTGAGGGACAGTCCCAGCTAAGGACATCTGGAATCACATGGGGTGCCTCATGTGCCCTCCTGGGTCTCTTGACAGACTCCTCCACCCTGGGTATGTCCGAAACAGCAGGCCTGGCCCCAAATGTCTCCCACCTGTGGCTTTGTCCATACCTCTCTCCCTCTGCAAACACACACCCCTTAGCTTCTTGTTAGGACTCAGCCAGGACCCCTCCTGTGGGAAGGGTGGTCCCAACAGTCAGAGGCCTTACCTCTCCCCGGAGCTACAGCTCTCCTAGCCTGAAAGGCTAGTTCCTCTGAGGGTTAGTGGGTAGATACCTTCTGCCACTCCTCCCAGCATCAAGACCATTTATTGATCCGAGATTCAGAGCCAGACTGAATGTTTCTCGGAGGCCCCAGCTGGGCCCAGGTCTCCTAACCTGAGTTGGGGCTGAGGAGAGGCAGGGATCCAGAATCTAACTGGCCGGGAGAGGGGCGGGACAAAGCTGGGGCAGGCTGGGCAAAGGAGGCAGAACTGGGACCCAGAGAAAGGTGGCCCATCCCTCACCATTCCCCCTCCTCCATGTACTTCTCCCCTCCCCAGGAAAAGAAGGGGCAGGAGGTACAGAAGGGTCCGGCTGTGGAGATCGCAAAATTGGATAAACTGCTGAACCTGGTGAGGGAAGTGAAAACCAAGACCTGAGGGCCTAGCCTCAGTCCCTGTCCCATTTTTTGAACCCATACTTGTAACCCCTGACCCTGGTACCCAAGCCCAGCCTTAGTACCCAGTATGTGACCCCCACCCCTGATCAGGTCCCAGAATCTACCATCAGCACTCTACTTCGGCCCTGGTCCCAGCACCTCACCCCAGGACTTGGCCCTCAACCATTACCCCATCCTACTTTGCACAAATAAACCGGTGTCTGGAAACTCACCCCACACCTTTATTTTTGCTACTGCAGGGCCCTCAGGAAGAGGAGGAAATCTCAGGGTAGAGCCATAGTTCCATTTATTATCCAGCAAACAGTGGGAGGACCCGAGGAGGGGCCCAGCCTGGACGCCCTCCCGTTATTGCCATGGATTCCAGTTTGCTTCCCCAACCTCAAGGGCCTGGAGGCAATTGGCCTAGGGAAAGGTAGCCCCAGTCCCTGGCCCTCAGTATGGAGCAGAGTCAAGATGGCCCTGGCCCTAGCACCAACTCATGAACCCCCACCCCAGGCCTGTACGAAGGGCCACCAGAGTGCCTCTGGGGCTAGACCGGCTAGACTCTGGGCTGCTAGGTCCAGCTCCAGACAGGCTGGACTCTGGGTTCTGGACCCCAGGCTGGCTAGACCCTGGGATCCTGATTCCAGGCTCTGGGAGGGGCAGACTTAGGCCCCAGACTCCAGGCTCGGCGAGGGGCCGTCAGGGCTGCAGCAGGTAGCTGCCTTCATGGCTGGGCTTCTGAGGCGGGGGTGCCTTCTCAGGACAGGGGCCAGGGCTGGAGTTGGGACTGGATTCCGAGAGAGAGTCGATGTCCACAGAGCGGGAATGGCAGGCCCAGCAGAGAATGACCCAGAGCAGCAGCAGCAAGAAGCCTACAAGGCCGTTGCAGACGATGGCAATGAGGGCCCCCTGGGAGATGGCTGCCCCCATGACAGGCGGCACCCTCAGACCAGCCCAGACCACGGGGCTGGCTCAGTGGCAAGGCCCATGCCGAGGCGGAACTCCAGTATAGCTGGCCTTCCAAAGAGGCTGTCCTGTCCACACACTCAATGATTCCTGGGCAGTGGATGTCCACCTGCAGTCCTGAGCCTGTGGCAGGTAGAGAGCAGAGGAGAGGGTGGTGAGGAGGCAGGGGTAGGCTGAAGGGGTAGGGTGAGGCCTAGGAGGAGAGGGGTAGAGAACAGAGTCCTTTCCCACATCTCTGGCTTCCCTGGCAGAGGACTCTGGGTCCCAGCAGGTCTAAATACCCCACAGAGCCAAGGCCCCATCCTCAGGCCTGGCTCTGGGCACCTGGATGCGGGTGCGGCCACAGTGGGAAAGCTGGAGTAGACATCCTACATCTCAATCTCCTCAGAACCAGTGGGCATGGCCTGGCCCTGCCACCAAGCTTCCAGCTCTCAAAAGCACTGTGTTGAGTGGATGAGACTAAGGAAGCCCAAGGCCTTAGAGGACGGGGATTGTAACCAGCACTGGTGTGGCCTGGGCACCTCCCCCTACGCAGGACTCCAGCCAGCCAGCCCGGGAGGCCTCCAGAGGTGCGAGCTCAGACAGAGGGAACTTTGTGGAGGCCCTGGCACGCATGTGTGGCCTGGGTACCCAAGGCGGTGCTCCCAGGTGTGCCTCTCTGTGGGACTATCTCTCCAGGTCAGTTGTGCGTGTCTGTGTGTCTGGCTCTTAATCTTTCGGTGCCCTTGCCTAGACGTGTGCCTCCGCCTCTGCATACCCACCTCTGTGTTTGTGCAGCTGTCTTTCTGTGTGGCTCTCTTTTTACCTGTCTCCGTGTGTCCCCATCTCTGAGTGTATCTCTTTTCTCTGTGTATATGGGTCTCTTGTGTCTCTCGGTCTCTCTTTTCTTCCCTGCTGTGTGTCACTCTGTCCCCGTGGACGCGTCTCTCTCCCCTTCTCCGTGGGGTCTGTCTCTCTAGTTCTGTGAGTCGCGTGTGTCTCTTTGTGTCTGTCTCTTTCTCCCCGGCTGCGCCTCTATGTCTCCATGTGGGTCTGGGTCTCTTTATCTCTGTCTCTGGTTCTCGGTCCCCGTACCCGTGGGGGGAGGGCCCCCCCTTACCTGAGTTGAGCCCGGTGAGCGCCCGCGGGAGGGTCCCGGGCGGCGCGATGCTGGGTGCCGACTGAGTCTCTGGAGCCTGCGGGCGCGGGGCGGGGGGGAGGGGGGGGCGGGAAGAGGCGGGCAGGGGCGATGTGCCCTCCCCCGGCCCTCCCCCTCGGCCGCGCAGCCTCCGCCGGCCGCTCCCGCCGCGGCGCGACCGGGTCGGCCTCTGCCGCGGGCGGTCTGCGGCGAGCCGGCACCTCCTCTCCCTGGGGCGGTGCCTCCTCCGCGGCCGCGGCGGCTCGCTAGCTCGTTCGGCGGCGTTCGGGCGGCGGCGGCTGCGGCCCGGGCACGAGGTTCGGGTAGGCTCGGCTACGTTCGGCTACGTTCGGCTGGGCTCGGCTGGGCTCGGCAGGCAGCAAAAACAGCGGAGAACCTCGCTTCCTGGGAGGCCGGCGGCCGGCGGCCAGTGGCCACTGGGGGGTGGAGCCATCTCCGCGCCGCTGCCGTCATTCAATTGGCTGGCTGCGCCAGGCTCCCGGACGATTGGTCGCGCGCTGGGGTGGGGACTGGCTCGCCGCTTGTGCAGGCGTGGGGCGGGGGCGAGAGAAAGACTGAAGGGGCTGCTAGGTCTTGATCCGTCTGGAGGAAGGGGGTGGGAACGAGGCCCACCTACTTGCGGGGATTTCTTGCACCTTCAACACCTGGAAGAGCTGCGCACAACATCCGAGAAAGGCCTCTGTACCCTCATACGTGAGGAGACTGCCCATCCATATCTGCCTCTGCCCGCATCGTCCAAGGAGGAAGGCCTTGGGTCCCCATATCTAGGAGGAGACTGAACGTCCTCATCTTGGAAGCCCCCTAGACTTCTACACAACCACTCCCAGCTGGGGGTGGACTCCGCATCCCCACTTTAGAGGGTCTGTAGGTGGCTCTACATTCCCTGGCCCCAGGAGGTGTGAGCAGCTCTGCCAACACAAGTTCTTGGGGCGTATTTATTGAGTTCCTACCCAGTACTGGTCGCGGGTTCGTGCTTTGCTGCGCTGTGGGGGAGCCTAGGTAGAGAGTAATGGGGTATTCCGAGAGATCGGTCAGCCAGGGCTGGAACAGGACCAGGCATGACGCTCCATCCTAGAATCTCTCCTAAGAGGAAGATCAGCTTGGGCAGAAGCCTGTCAGGTAGGCCTTCCTACCCGACCTCATAGGTCAGTGATTCCTAAGTGTTCTGAACTGGACCCTTTTCTCGTCCTACTCTACATATTCGCCATGGATGCTCACATCCCTAAAGCTATACCATGAAGACTCTCAGTGCTCCCAAATCCAGCATTACTTTATCTCTGGAATTCTAGCCATAGATCCAAGTGCCTTCCAGAATCAGGGGGGTGTTGATTCCTGGTTCTGCCATTTAACTAACTTTGTGATCTTGAGCAAGTTACTCACCCTCTTTTAGCCTCAGCTTCCTCATCTGTGAAGTTGTTGTAGTAATAGGTACCTCTCAGGGTTGTAATTCACCAATTCATTTATACTCGACCCACCACATCTTAGCAAATGCCAACTGACACAACCCCAAGGACCATATGGCTAAGGGGCCCCTTCCCTCAATGCCATGAAATTCACATGAGATCCCTATAAATCCAAATGCTATCTTGAAAACAAGAAAGGGAAGGGTAAGATAATTTGAAATACTGAGTCATACTTACAGACTGTCTAAAATAAATTTTTGGACCTACTGAGTTTACCATAATGGATTAATTTTAGTTCCCCTGCCCCTGTTACCCAGCAGGGTGGGGGCATTGTGAGCAAGATCAAATCAGTTCTAGGAAAGAGAGGAGACCTATATTGTTGCACATCTGAGTGTAATGTGAGTGAATTTGTGACCCAGCTGCAGGAGTTCAGATTTTATCCTGGAAACAGTGGGGAGCCACTGAAGAATTTTGAGCAGAGGAGTAAATGTGATCATATCCAGAAATTACAGGGATGATTTGGGCTGCTAGGTGGAAGGGGAGATTGAAGGCAGTTGAGACAAAGGACTGAAATGATGTAGGGGAAGAGGATTGGAGAGAACAAGAGAGCACTGAGAATATTTGGGAATTACCATTGGCAGAACTTAGACACATAGACCTACAGGATATGGGGAGTAAGAGGGAGGGAAAAGTCTGGGATAACTTCCAGGTTGGTGACTAGGGATACTGTGATTCCCTTTACTGAGATAGAAAACAGGAGAGGAGGGGTGTTTCAGCAGGGGTCTGGGGTGGTGTGTGGGGGAGGTGGAGGATGATGAATTCCATTTTAGATATGCTAGATTTGAGGTACCAATTGGACACTCAAGTTGAAATGTCCCATATACAGTTGGATAAGTATGCCTGAGGTTCAGACTGAAGACAACATTTTGTGAGTTATCAATAAATGAGTAATAGTCAAATCAGAAAAGTGGATGAGCAGGTTGCCTGTGTGGCTCAGTCGGTTGAGCTTCTGACTCTTGATTTTGTCTCAGGTCATGATCTAGGGTAGTGAGATTGAGCCCCACATGGAGCCCCACGTCAGGCTCTGCGCTAGGTATGGAGCCTGCTTAGGATTCTCTCTCTCCCTCTCCCCCTTCCCACCCCCTCCCTCTCTCAAAAAACAAAAACAAAAATACATAATCAGATACTGAAACCTAAAAACAGGGATGCTTCAGGAATAACTGGAACTAATAGACACAAAAGCCATTAGGATCTCTCTCTACTTCTCATCTCTGTTACTTTCTGCCAGGCTCCTTCATTTCCTTCCCCTGCCCTGCCCAGCCCCCACCATCCCCACCACCAGACTGGCTTCTAGTGTTTTTCTGGTCCACATGGTGAAAAACATCACTTCAGACAATCCCAAAGCTTAAAAATATTATTGTCTAGGTATCCAACAAGACACTGGCTTCTTTTTCTTGGTTGCATTTTGCAAATTCCTCAGGAAGTGCTCTGATTGGCTCAGCTTGGGTAGATACTTAACTCTGGACCCCATCAACTGTGGCCAAGGAATGGATGAAGCTCAAATTGCCTAACATGGCTCACATGAAAACCCCATGAACATTGTGGCAGGGGAGGGGGGTCCTAAGAGAAAAGAGAATGCAGAATGGCAGGTGTTCGCTGTAGCCCACCCTTTGCTTGCCCAACACACACACATTATTTTCCTACATATATATGATTCCAAAAATGTCCTCACCTACATATTCCAACCATTCCACTATACATATGCCAATAAATTCACCTCCTCTCTAGTGGAGGGCAACTCAATGACACATCTAGCTCCTGCTTCTGGGAATTATATCATAGGACCACTGTTCGTCACATATAAATTCTCTGCGTAATGTCCCTTCGTGCTCCAGTTAGGTTTCTATAAGGTGTGAATATGGCTTCTAATAATCTCATTACCTTTGTTTGAATTGCCTTTGAACTACCTTTAAACCACTACCCCCCTGCCCAAAAATAACCCCCAAAACTCCTGATATCTAGCGATGGAAGAAATAAAGAACAAAATAAAAAGAAGGCTCTGTAGAGTGGTCAGTAATCCAGAGCATCATATATTTTTTGGCCATGAATGACAATGAAAATGGTGGGCCATGAATGACGATGAAAATGGCATCTGTTTGTTGACTCACATCTTTGGCTACAGAGTTTCTCAGTCAGCCAATCTGCCTGCCCCAGGTTTTGCCCACAAGGATGTGATCCCTTATCCAGTGTTCTGAGAGCATCATTGTGGAGGATTTCTCTGTGGGGCACTGTACTGATTAGCACTACACTTTCTGGTGGTGTTTTAGGGATTATCCTGGGATTGAGCAATCACAGATCTCTGCATTTATGAGATTGGGTGTGGTTTTATTTTCCTCCCAGATCATACAATTCTTTTAAAATCATAATCAGCTGTCTGTCAGTTTCATCTGGGGGAGAATTCGTTTTGCTAATAAATTATTCATCCTAAAGCACTCTTCCCCCCTAGTTTAAACAACTCTAGGGATGCCTGGGTGGCTCAGTCAGTTAAGCGTCTGCCTTTGGCTCAGGTTATGATCCCAGGGTCCTGGGATTGAGCCCTGCTTCAGGCTCCCTCCTCATTGGGAAGCCTGCTTCTCCCTCTCCCTCTGCCACTCTTCCTGCTTGTGCTCTCTCCCTCTCTCTCTTTCTCTGTCAAATAAATAAATAAAATCTGTAAAAAAAATAAACAACTCTGAAATCAGAATACAGTCCTACAATTAATTGCATAAAATAGTTTTTTAGCCTTTTTTTTTAAGATTTTATTTATTTATTTGAGAGAGAGAGAGAATGAGAGAGAGACAGAGAGAGAGAGCATGAGAGGGGAGAGGGTCAGAGGGAGAAGCAGACTCTCCGCCGAGCAGGGAGCCCAATGTGGGACTCGATCCCGGGACTCCAGAATCATGACCTGAGCTGAAGGCAGTCACCCAACCAACTGAGCCATCCAGGCACCCAGCCTGTTTTCTTCTAGTACTGTTGACCCTGCCTTGTACAATGCAGGGGTTAGGGGCACCAAACCCTTGCACAGTCAAAAATCCATGTATAACTTTTTTTAAAACTTTTTTTAAGTTTAGTGTTTTAGTAATCTCTACACCCAATGTGGGGCTTGAACTCACGACTCTGAGATCAAGAGTCACATGCATTCCCCACTGAGCCAGCCACGTGCTCTCCATGTATAACTTTTGACTCCTTCAGAACTTAACTACTCATAGTCTACTGTTGACCAGAAGCCTTACCGATAACAAACAGTTGATTAACACATATTTTGTATATGTATTATATAATGTATTCTTATAATAAAGCCAGAGAAATAAAATGTTACTAAGAAAATCATAAGAAAAATACATTTACAGTACTATAAAAAAAATCCGCATATAAGTGGACCCATGCAGTTCAAACCTGTGTTGAGGGTCAACTGTAGTTCATAAAATAACTTGCCTCAAGTAACGGATGGAACATGAGATTTATTAAATATAGTAATTTCATCAGAGTTCTTTTTCACAAATAATAGAATCCACCCTGGATAATTAAAACATAAAAGGGATTTGTTAAAAGATACTATTTAGCTCAGAAATGTTAGGAGGACTGGGGAAATGAATTTGAGGCTCAGTTTCTAGAAACAACACTCAAACCATACCACACAACCTGCTGAGGACACTGCAGCCATTGCCCCTCCAAATACTAAGTACCAAGAGTTTACTCTGCCTGCCAGCTTTACAAGCTCTGTAGCATTTCTGCGGTAAGAACTCAACATTGCAACCCCTGGGAAACCACCCCTGTTGCCACTACCACCCCCCGAAAGGGGACACTTATACTACCAGCAATAGCAGAAATTGAAGCCTTTTGTCCAACCCGCTTCCTTCCTGTATCAGTCAGAGTCAGGCAGGTAACAACGGTTATGAACAACCCCAGATCTTACAAAGATGGATTTCTTGCTCATGCTACAGTTCTGGCATGGGTGAAGTGGGGAGGAGGAGTCTGCTCACTGTGACCACTCAGGATCACAGTGATGATGGAGGTTTCACCATCTTAGGATGATGCCTTTCTTTCCTTTCTTGCTTTCTTTCTCTCTCTCTTTCTTTCTCCTTTTTTTCTTTGTTCTTTCTTTCTTTCTTTTTAAAGGATTTTTTAAACTACTCTCTACAACCCACGTGTGGGGCTTGAACCTACAACCCCAAGATCAAGAGTCGCATGCTCTACGGACTGAGCCAGCCAGGCATCCCTATGCCACTTTCTTGATTGGAACCTTCAGCGTTTGCTGTGGTAAAGAGAGTGAGGGAAAATGTACATTGGCTCCTGCTCACATTGCATTGATCAAAACAAATCTCATGGCCATACCTAACATCAACAAAGAAGGGCAACCCTCCTGGTGCTCAGAAGGAAAGGAGAACCAGAAATATTGAACTTTAGTGATATTTACTCACTCGTATTATAGCTCACTTCCAAATCAAAGCCTCACATGGGGCCAAGTAGCAATGTCTATAAACAAGCTGCATAGGATGTTGCAAATTTTAGTTCTGACTACTGTACTAAGGAGACTGGATTTTAAAATGTGACTTTTCCCATATAGGAAAACTATTTAAAAGGTGAAGGACATCTATGAATACAACATATTTCTACTACCATAATCAATACTAGAAATTTGTAGAACCATGCTCTCTGAATCCTCAGGTTTGCCACAAAAATGCAGGAGCTGTGCAAGCTCTTGGAGCAATTTCTCTTTTTTAGGACTATGTTTTTCATAATGCTAAAAGGGGCACTTTCAATCCCTCTAACTATGCCTTCTGGCTTCATGGGAAATCTTAGGCTGGAGTGACAGGGCTAGAAGCCTTTCTTCTTCAACCTGCCCTGGAATGATGCCCTTCCCTCACTTGCATTCCAGTCAACTCACTTTACAATGAGAAGCACCATCATATTTGCCTGACAGGGTAGGAACATCCAAAATGGGTGGTCTGCAAGCAGTTAGGGGCCAACAGAGTAAGTATTTTGCTTGGATAAGGAAGTGTGTTTCAGCCTTGACCTCAAACTGCTAGAAGCTAGATCATCCTGCATCATGCTGAATTGCAGAAGCTGAGTTCTTGGCTCTTGTCCAATGTTGATGGTGAGGAAACTGAGAGGTCCTAGCAATCAGGACGGTGGTACACAGGGAGAGTCCGAGAAATTGGGAAGCCCTGCTTGTTGTCCCCACCCTGTCTCCTCTCCTTTTTTCTCTCCAGACAAGCTTCCTATGCTTCTCTAGCCCATACAATAAAAAACCCAGTTTCTGACAATTCTCAGCTTTACAGCTTAAATCCAGGTATACCCAGCAAGATGTTGGCTCATCTCTTTCAGTTTCAGCTTCAAAATTCCCAGGGACTTGCTCTTATCAGCCTGGCTTTGGTCAGATGCCATTCCCTGTATTAGTGATCCATGGCAGGGTAGGGAGGTCATAATATGCTGGCTCCCATGATAACCATATGAGTGAAAGGCAGTTCCCACCAGAAGGGAGGGCCATCCAAACAAAACATAAAGGAGTCCACCATACTAACATTAATGGATGCAGGAGAAAAGATAAATCTGCAAAATAAATAAGGAAGTAGCTGTCACAGAGGTAGAAGGAAAACCAGGAAGGAACATAGTTTCAGAGAAGCCAAGAAGGGACAGAGGTTCAAGAAAGAGGGAGGGGTCAGCAATCCAGAATGTCAAAGAGAGGTCTAGTAGTTATAGAAAAGGGAACCAGTGGACTCAAAAGAAAGGAGGTTGTTGATTATCTTGGCAATAAGTTGTTCCAGTGGGCAATGGACAATGGGAAATGGAGATGGGGTATGTGGGAGCCACCAGATCTGGAGTGGTTTGATGAGTAAGAAGCTGATACAATATAGATGACTCAAGATGATTATTGTTAAAAATTGGGGGGAAGGAGAATAGATATAGAAAGATGTGGAACCAGAGGAACTTTATATTCAATTTCTAGAAATTTCTTTTTTTTAATAAAGATTTTATTTATTTATTTGTCAGAGAGAGAGGGCTCAAGCAGGGGGAGCTGCAGGCAGAGGGAGAAGCAGGCTCCCCGCTGAGCAAGGAGCCTAACTCAGGACCGATCCCAGGATCCTGGGATCAGGACCTGAGCCAAAGGCAGCCGGTTAACTGACTGAGCCACCCAGGTGTCCCCTAGAAATTTCTTATGTGTTTCTTACATGGGCATGTTTAACTACTGGTGGGAAAGAACCTGAAGAAAGAATGTAATTGATAGCTAGGGCGCCTGGGTGGCTCAGTCGGTTAAGCAGCTGCCTTCGGCTCAGGTCATGATCTTAGGGTCCTGGGATGGAGCCCCGTGGTGTCAGGCTCCCTACTTAGTGGGGCGTCTGCTTCTCCCTCTCCCTCTGACCCTCCCCCTGCTTATGCTCTCTCTCAAATAAATAAATAAAATCTTTTTTAAAAAAAGAATATAATTGATAGCTATTTTTATTAATACTGTCCATCTCCCTTGGGCTGTGCAGATCCAGGCAGGCAGGGACAGGGACAGAAGTTAAAACCTGGCAGAAGGTATGAACCACTTCAACTTTTCCTAGGCCATACTAGCAAGTAGGGCAGAGATAGGAGGTGACTGACCTCAGCATTGGGTGACCCAGGTTGGGCCCCAGGACACACCCAGGGCCCTGGGATTGCACTGTGTTCTGTGCCCAGACAGAGAGGACTTGTGTGAAGGGCAAAGGATCCCAAGGCTGGAGCCAGTCCTCAGCGGGTGGGGGTAGGGTGAGCATAAAGCAGTCATACTCTGGGATAGGCAGCCTTGCCATGACTTTGCTCTGATTTCCTTATCTTGAAACCATGCCTATTCCTACCTTTACCCATCCACCCACTCACTCCTCAGCGTCCCTGCCAAGCTGCCACCTGCTTTCTCAGATCCACTTCCCTACCTCCCATCACTCCCCAGCCGCTGCCCCCACCTTCTGCTCTCATCATCCCTGGAGCTGGCTCACCAAGGTCACTTTCACCTCCTTGTCACATCCAATGAATATCTGTTAGTCCTTATCTTTTTGACTTCTCGGCAGCAGTGAGGTTGTTGATCCCTTTTTGAAACTCCATCTTTCATTGTCTTTCATGAAGCCACCCTCTCTGGGAACATTTATTCCTCCTCCTAAAACAACTCTTGTTTTCTTTGTTTATTTTTTAGAGAGGGAGAGGGGGGAGGGGACGGGCAGAGGGAGAGGGAGAGAGAATCTCATGCAGGCTCCATGCCCGGCGCAGAGCCCACAGGAAGCTCGCTGGATCTCACAGCCCAAAAGCAAGAGTCGGACACTTAACCAACTGAGCCACCCAGGTGCCCCTAAAACAACTACTGTTAATCAAGCGCCTAGACTCTGTCAGAGCTTTACATTCATCATAGATATCCCTCACCTGCATGCAAGACAGGCCCATGGAACAGATGAAGGAACTGGGACTGAAGGTCATCAAGAGGTTTTCCTTAGGCCCCAGAGCAGCTGTGATAGAGTCTGGATTTAAACCCTGATTTGCTGCATTGCCCTCAACTCCAGCATTCTGTCTGTCTCCCTTACCTCCCTGGCCCCTCCTTTCCGTTGGGCTGTGCTCTCTGCACCCGCTCTCTTCTCCTCTCCTCTCCTCAAGTGAGGTCCTCCTCTGCGTTATGGCTTCTGTGCCCATTTTATGCTGACGATGCCTTAATGCTGACCCAGACCTCACCCCCAAGTCCCAGACCGGTGTTTGTTGCTGCTGCTGCTGTTGTTATTAAGAGCTAAGATTTATGGAGTGTTTACAACATGGCAGGAACTGTGCTAATTTCTTTACATACATCATCTCATTAAATCCTTACAACGACCCTATGAGGTACAAGCCTTTCTCATTTTCCACTTAAGGAAACTGAGCTGTAGAGAGATTAACCACCTTGTCCAAGGTCAACAGGAGCCCAGGTTTGTCTGACCCAAATACGTTCTCTTAACTACTGACCTAAGGCCTTCTACTAAGAAGTCCCAACACTTGACAGGTCTAATCTGAGCCCATGTTCCCCTTACTTGCTGTGTGATCACAGGCAAGTGCTTGCGTGTGGGAGCCATGATTATTATCAACTTCCCCAAAGCCTGTCCTCCCTCTGTGCTAACTAGTTCAACAAACAGTGCTACCGTCTCCCAGTCGACAGCATCATGCAAGGCTCTTCCCTCTCCCTTCCCTCTTCACCCCACATTCATCAAGATTTGGTGACTCTGTGCTCACTGACCTGGCCCTGGTTCTTCTCTTACCTGCTCTCAGGCCTTCTGCGTCATTCATTCAAAGCACCTCCCAGCTACTGCCGCTTCTGCGTTCTCTTCCCTCCTTGCTCTCCTCTGCACGGCCTCCAGACCGTCTCCAGACATGGCCCTAGAGCGGTCTTTCCCAAACACAAATCTGACCAAGTCTCCCCAGCTCCCAGGGCCCTCTGACTCTCAGTAGAAGCCCCCGAACCTCAGCCCCCAGTCCTCTGCAGCCGCAGCTCTCACCTGGCCCACTACCGACCGTAGGAGGGTCCTCACCATTCCTGCCCTTCCCTCCCATCCTGCCCCTGCCCTTCCCCACCCCCCAGGGGTAAGGTGTGTCTTCTGCCTCTTCATAGTCCCCCCACAACTGGTATGTGTTTTTCCTGGGACACTGAGCCCAGAGGTTGGTGTGTTCAGGTGTGTTAAATTGGTAATGTTTCTCTAATTTATAAAAATGAAATCTAGGGTCTCCTGGGTGGCTCAGTCAGTTATGCATCTGCTTTTGGCTCAGGTCATGATCCCAGGGTCCCGGGACTGAGCCCCACATCAGGCTTCTTGCTCGGCAGGCAGCCTGCTTCTCCCTCTCCCTCTGCCCCTCTCCCTCTGCCACATGCTCTCTGAGGCTTCCTCTCAAATAAATGAAATCTTAAAAAAAAAAAAATGAAATCTATGGTTACACAACAATATATAACAAGATAATTAATACCTCAGGGGCACCTGGGTGGCTCAGTCAGTTGAGCGTCTGACTCTTGATTTCGGCTCAGGTCATCATCGCGGGGTCCTGGGGTTGAGCCCCACATTGGGCTCTGAGCTCAGCAGAGAGTCTGCTTGAAGATTCTCTCTCTCCCTCTCCCTCTGTTCCCCCCCACCCCTGCTCACATGGCCGTGCTCTCTCTCTAAAGTAAATGGATAGGTCTTAAAAATATGTATACATAATTAATACCACAAAACCATACACTTAGAAATGGTTACAATGGTAAAACAAAGCAAAACTAAATATAACTCCTTTCCTAGGTCTTTGCTTCTGGAGCTAGTAGTAAGGTCATCTTGGGAGAAACTCCTCACCCTTCCTCCCCAACTTGCAAAGGGGTCCTGGGGACCTGAGCCTGGGTGTTTTATGTTGTGATTCACATGGTCTCTGCTGAGATGTCCAGTTTGGGAGCTCAATATCCAGGGTCCTGCCTTCCCAAGCTCACCCTGCCCCCACTCGTAGGGCACTGTTAGGGAGTGTTTGTGTGTCCCACCTGCTCACGCAAACACATGAATTTAATTGAGGGAAAGCAACAAATGAAGAGATCCCCTCTTCATTTGAGGGTACTCTCTGGATTACTTTGCCCCCTCTCCTTAGCATAATTCCCTGAAGAAGCTTAAGTTTCCAGAAGGCTAGAGTCAGGAAGAAGCCTGAAGTTGACTCAGCCTTGGACCTGCGATGCTCACCCCAAGAGACAGGGAGAAAAAAGGCCCAGCCTTCTGCCTGAGCCCAGAAAGGGAACAATGTACTGGAACAAAACTCCATTAACATCTCAATAAATTATCCCTGTACACCAACTCCTGCCTCCGGCCATCAAATCCCTTGGGGGCAGAAATCAGACACACTAATACACACACACCACCCACAAAGCAGAGGCACACATACGTACAAACAAGTATTGACATGTACACATGTATACAGAAATAACAAGCCTACCCAGACCACAGGCATGCGCATGAAAACATCCAGAGTTACGCATGTCTTATACTCACTACACACATACCACATATCCAGGAAATACACACAAAGAGGTTCACAGGTCTCCATAACATACATGCGTACGCACACACACACACAAGCATGAAAGTAAACCTGCTGACAGACTCACAACAGGTGTGTGTTTTGAACCAAGGACTAAAGAAGGAAGTCTGAGATAAAGACACAGCTCGGTTTTCTAGAGATTGAAAGAGTATGTGTATGTGGAGGACAGACTGGTGGGAGAGCGAGCCAGGTAGTAATAGGGAAGGGAGAGATCCTAACACCAAGGGAAGAGAGTAGTGGTTAGTTATATGGTACCAACTACTCACCTAGCCCTCATTTATTTATCTGTTAGCTTAATAGTTACCAGCTGGGTCCTCTGCTCGGGTAGGTAGGCCCAGAGCGCTGAGCCCTGCTCTGTTGGCACCTATGCCCAGCCTGGGAGGGAGACCTACCCATGAGCAACCGTAACCCAGAGTGGGGAGTGCTATGAGGGGGGATGCAGCAGTGGAAGGTAGGCAAGGTCAGGGAAACTTGAATCGAATATTGACCAATTGGCAGCTGGGGGGGATGAAAGAGATGGATGGGGAAGCCAAGGGAACAGCGCATAGGAAGGTGTATTAGTTTCCTGTTGCTATTTTAATCAATTCCCATAAATTTAGTGGCACCGAACAACACAGATTTATTCTCTTACAGTCTGAGGGTCAGAGGTCTGAAATCAGTCTCACTGGGCTAAAGTCAAGGTGTGGGCAGGGCCGGTTCCTTCTGGAGGCTCTGAGATAAGAATTAATTGCCTTTTCAGCTTCTAGTGGCTGCCTGTATTTGTTGGCTTGTAGACCCCTCCTCCATCTTCCAGTTTCCCATTCCATCATCTGATCACCTCATCTTTGACTCTAACTCCTGCCTCTTTTCTATGGTTGTTATTACATCAGAACCACCTGGTAATCCAGGATAATCTTCCCATCTTAAGAGCCTTAATTTAATCACAGCTGCAAAATCCCTTTGCCATATAAGCACACTCACAGGCTCTGGGACTTAGGATGTGGATGTATTTGGAGGCCATTATTAAGCCTACCACATATTATCTCACAATCTCCAAAACATCCTCTAATAGGAATCTTGCTGTCCCCAGATTGAAGATGAGAAATCTGAAGTTCAGAGAGGTTAAGTGATTTACCTTAAAACAAAAGAAACATTTACCGTGGGGCGCCTGGGTGGCTCAGATGGTTAAGCATCTGCCTTCGGCTCAGGTCATGATACCAGGGTCCTGGGATCGCGGGTCCCACATCGGGCTCCTGGCTCAGTGGGAGGCCTGCTTCTCCCTCTGCCTCTCCCCCTGCTCATGCTCTCTCTCTCTCTGTATCTCTGTGTCTCAGATGAATAAATAAAATCTTAAAAAAAAAATTTACCTTAAAACAAAAGAAATCGATTTACCTTAAAAATAAATGATCTTTTAAAAAAAATAGACTGAAAAATATACATGCTTGTTATTTAAAAATTATAAGTCATACAAAAAAATACAAAGAAAAATGCAGCATATCACTGAAAGTCTCACCACCCAGAAACGGTCAGTATTAGCATTTGGTGAGCATAATGCGTTGGGGTGGGGGCAGAGAGCGAAGAGAAAGGTATGTAAAAGAGAGAGGTAGAAAAATTATACAAGAATGGGACATACTACCGAAGCTATTTTTTTTAAACAAAACATACTTTTACTTTAATTGAGGGAAAGCAACTCAAGTGAAAATGAAAGAATGCTGAACTGCAGCTAAATATTTCTTCACCTCAAAAAATATTCATTCCTAAAAGACCCCTCTCAAGTTAAGAAAAACAATTTTGATTAAGCAGTTGGAGTAGGATTTGTATCATTATGTGTCAGTTTTATAAGCCATTAGTTGCTCGCAACTATGAAGGCAAATGCGAGTAGTACTTCTGCTCTCCCTTCCACCCCTTCTCTCCAGATTATGTTGCCAATTATCTAACTTTATAAGGATTTATATTTACATTCTGTTCTGCAACTAAAATTCCCAGTTTAGTCTTAACCTAAAGGGAATTACTGTTCACCACCAGTCCTTTTACCACAACTCTCCCTTCCTCAGCTCCCTATTTTGACTAACCTCTTGGCTGACTGGATTTTGTCACTGCGTAGTTTTTTTGTTTGTTTTCTCAGAAGGGCTCATGGGTTCTCTATTCCCAAAGTCATGACTGACATCAATCACTTTGTTGGTTATGCTTTGGGGTAATACTTGTTTACCCTCAGAACCTCATAGATACTGCTTTGTCACTTTGGTTTGTAGAATGTTATGTTGGAGAACATCTAAGATCAGCCTTAATTTGTCCCCATACATGACTTGCTCTTTCTGCCTGGGTTCCTGAAGTATTATTATTTTATCTTCAGAGTTTAGCAACTAAATCAGTGTCTTAATGTCCATTATTCTGTATCCATTCTTCTGCCATAGGCTGTTCATTTTCTGTCTGGATATTCAGTTCTTCCTTAATTTCAGGGAAAGTTTTTCTGTAGGTCATACCTTAGTATCTTTTTCTGTTCCATCTTTGGAACCTCTACGTTAGGGCAGCCAACAACCAGGCTTATGGTAGCTTGCCTTTGTCCTATTAACTTCACTCTAATTGCTTTAATATCTTCAAATTTCTCATGTTTACTTTCAGGATCTCAAAGCCTTTCCTACAAATTACTTTGATTTTCAGCCATATCTATTCTGTGTTGTTACTGTTAGTCTGTTGTATCTGTAATGGTATTGTTTTGGTCCTTTACTATTTTTCCTTAGTTCTATAATCTCCCTTTTCATTTCATTGTTGTTTTATCATCTTGTCTTTGAGTTCTTGTTCTCTGGATTTCATACTATTGTTAAGGCCTTCTATAACAGGAAGAACTTGCCAGGAATTTTTTATTCCTTTGGTTTTCTTCTAGATTGGGTTCTTCCTTTATTTTTTGCATCCTGTCTTCCTTGTTCCTTTTCCTGCCCCTCCCTCCCTTCCCACTTTCCTTCTTTACTTCCTTCCTACCTATATCGTGGCTGTGATCCGAACGCCTAAGGGCCATGCCATTATCTTTCCACTTACAACTATCTACCATGGCTCACAGTTAGGATACCTCTCCTTGCTCTGGAGTGTGGGACCTTGAGCCCCTTCCCACCTGGACCAATTTATCCACCCCTGGGAGCTCTGGTTTGAAAGCTGGCTATTGCTTTCAAACTCACCCACCCCATTTCTGTGCCCTGAGGGTGGTTTGGCTGGGGCTACCTACTGACTTTGATGGGGCCAAGGCGCTGTCTCTCCTCTGATACCCTTAGAGGTGGGGCATATCCCATCCTATAGACTTAGACTTGTTCCCCCAACCTCACGCCTGTACTCTGGAAGTTGCCAAGCCATGGCAGCTCTTCTTGCCTCTCCTGAGGTCTCACGGAGGAACACAGGGGTTTTACTTACAAAGGCTTTTCCCGAGACCTTTCCTAAGGCTACCTACTCACGCAACAATTCATGTTCCTCAGATTAGAGGATGTTAGTGAAAATGGTGGGTATTTTGACTCATCTTTTCTCAATGCTCCTTTTGGGCATGGGGCACCATTATCATCTGTTACTTTCCTCGGCTACCACATTTTAAGGTTTATAAAAAGAATTTGCGAGTTTGGTTGGACTTGAGTTTGTAGCAGCATTTTTGTTTTGGTTTGGGCGTTTGTTCCTTTTGTTAGTCGGGGGTAGGATGGAGTAGAGTGATTACGAGGCGGCTTCACTTTGCCTCCTAACCCAGAGATCCCACCCTTGCCTTGTCCATAGTTCTCCCCTCAGACCCCTCCTTAGGGCAAGAACCTAGCAGCCCCTAGCACTTTCAAATCCCTGGAGTGAAATAGGGGCCCATAGGACTAGGCCTTAGTACAGAGTGGGTGTTCAGCCCACGGTAGAGGAGCGAAAAGGCGGCAGCATCAGAGGGACCTCAGTACTTGACAAGAGAGCATCCAGGCAGGGCACAGTGTGTGAACCAAGGCATGGAAGTAGGGCAGACAGGAACAATGATTGGGGAATGGGGGAGGGGGCGGGGGCGGGCAGGGGTGGTATCTAGCTGGAGGAATGCCAGCTGAAGGGGGCAGGAGGAGAGAGGCTGGAGAGTAGGGAAGGCAGGGCCTAGGCATGCAGTCTGGTCTGGGGGCTGCCCCTGTGTGTGACCAAAGCACTTAGCTCTTGGACTCTCAGGGAATATTACAGAAAGCCCCAGGGTAGGTACAAGTAGCCTAGTTCCTGCCTCTCCTCATCTCAGCCCCTCCCAAGGAAACTTCTCTGCCCCACTTATATTGCCTCCCTGTCCTTGTGTCCAAGGATGCCTTTGCTCTCTTCCCTATAGCCACAGGTAAGGCCTCAGCCATGCCACACTAGACACCATCACAAGCTACACGCTAACATACCACAGACGTGCCCCTGGTCACCTAGTCACACGAAACCGTAACTGTGGTTGTATCCACCACCACAAACTGGCAGATGATGGCCCAGTGATGCATGATACTGAAGGTACACTTTGCACACAGCTCCGCACTGTCTGGCTCCCCTCTGGGGCCTTTGCCTCTGATTCTCCTGAGAGCTTGCTCTGCCCCCTGGTGGCCACTCCCGTAGCCACTGCCCTTCTGGAAGGACCCTATTATCCACTCCCTTACGGGCCTGGTTCCTGCCCAAAGAAGCTTCCAGCCTTAAACAGCCTCTCCCCTCAGACTGGCACTGTCAAACCAGGCCCCTTCAGATCCACTCGCCCACAGATCGACTTTCCCATCAGACCAGCACTGTTAGGCAAGGCCTTCTCAAATAGGGTTACCAAGAGTCCCAGTTTGCCTGGGACTGAGGAATTGCCCAGGACTTGAGATATTCAGTGCTAAAACTGACAGTCCCAGGCAAACTAGGAGTAGTTGGTGATCCTGTTCTCAGACCTGTGTGCCTTCAAAGTGCTCTTTCCTCAGACTGGACCCTTCAGAAGCTCTCTCGATTAATCACCCCCTCTCAGACTGGCCCTTCCAACTGAGATCTCTATAGTAGCATGTCCCAGACCAGCCTCCCCTCAGACTAATCCTTTCACACTGGCTCACTCACCTTCAGGTTAGCCCTTCCCCATTAGAGTACCCCTGTCAGAAAAGTTCTCCAGCCTCTCCTCATGCTGGCTCCATCAGACTCCCCTCCTCAGACCTCCTTCCTCTCTGCCCTCCTCTGAGGAGAGGGAAGGGTGTGAGGATTATACCCCAATCTTTTCTGCCCCCCAAGCACTCCATTCTTTCCCTGTAAGATGAACTTCCCCAGAGTCCAGTCTAGGGAGTTAGTGAGCTCACCCAGTGGCTCTGGGGAGGTCACAGGGCCAGAGGCTGCCCCAGGATTCCTGCCTACTGTCTCCAGATCACCTTCCTCTCTCCTGGCTGGCTGCTGGAAGATGTGGGGTGTGTCAGCTATCAGCCGCCTGCCCTGGAGCAGGAATGAAGGGCAGGCAGGTGGCCGAGAGGGGGCAGCAGAAGCCAGGACAGGCCCCAGCTCAGGCCAAAGAGGCACTGTGGCCACAGGCTGGGGTCTGGACCAGGGCAGGAACACAAAGAGGGAGGCAGAGAGCGAAGGGCTGACAGAGTCAAGAAAGAGGAACAGAGACACAGAGATGGGGTGGAGATCCATGAAGAGCCAGAGAGACACAAAGAGACTGAGATGGGGGTAGACACACAGAGACAGGGAGGAAGACAGAAAAGGGAAGACTGAGAGACAGGGAGGAGACAGAGAGAGACAAACACGGATGGAGACAGAGACAGGAGTTAGAGACATACACGGGAAAGGAGACAGGATAGAGACATAAGAGAAACACAGAATAGGAACCAGGACAAAGACAAGTTCAGGGATAGGAAGGGGACAGAGACTGATGGAAATGGGTTCAGTGAGAAGAGGATGGGGGCAGAGACAAGTCAGCCTTATAAGAATGGGGCATATAAGAAGGTCCCCATCTCCAGTGCCCCTTGGGGGAGCAAAGAGAACTAGTGAGCTGAAAGGCTGAGCCACCATACACATTGGGCCTGGGATCCAAGCCTCCCCTGGCAGCCCCCCTCAGCAGTTTTCATTCTCTGGGATCTGATTTAGCTTTAAGAATTGATGTCTATACTTACCCCAGCTCCCCAGAACCACCATGGGAAATAATGACGCGGAGGGACAATACCTGGAGGCAGCAGCAGGCAGCACTCTAAGACCCTCCAAAGCGAGCAGCCCCTGTGAGGTTGAGGGCCAAGACTCCCAAAGAGGAACGACCACCCCCAGGCCCAGGCCCGTCAGAGGCAAGGACACTGGCCCTCCAGCCACCTTGGCACTTAGGACAGGGCTGGGTCTCTCTCTCTTGAGGTTGGGGGCAGGGAGATGCCACAGGCCTCTCCGTTGGCCTCTGAGGCACCAGCAGGCCCCCTCCCCTCTTTCTCCTCCCCAGACCCCACATAATTGCTTTCCCATGTTGCTAATGGAGGCCAGATTGCTGATGCCCAAGCCCTGGGTGGGCGGTGGGTGGGTCAGGGCTGACCAAGGCTCTCGAGGCAGGAAAGCAGCACAGGCTGGAGACCTCTGAGCTTTAGCCCCACTACCACAAAGACAGGGAAGGGGGCGGCTCAGACCCACCCCAGGAATACAATGTCCTTGGCAAGAGTTGGTGCCGCCTGCTCTGTCCACCCCTGCTGAACCTGGAATACAGGTTCAGGCTCAAGCCACATCTCACAGAAACCAGACAAACAGGCAAATCAGGGGTCCAGGGTCCAGAGGTAGGTCCACAGCCACTTCTCCGTATGTCCAATCTTGGGAGCCTCTTCCTGGAATGAGGAGTCATGCATTCCCCTAGTTGGGGCTACTCAGCTTGAAAAGCCACAGGCCCCTCTACCCTGACATCAGGCCTTTTGTTTTCCATGAGATCTCCCACCTGGAACACCCCCTCTCCTCCTGTAATGCCTGGCCTGGAAGAGAGCCAGCCACCTTCCCTCTGAGCTCTCACCCAGCCCCAAGCCCTGTCCAGGCCTAACTCATCAGTGCTTGAGGCAACATGGATCCCTCCTCCCAGGGGCACAATCCCAGGCAGGCCTGGTGAGACCAGCAAGGAATGTCCATTTTCTGACCCTGGTCTGAAGAAAAGGTTTGAGTTGGGGTGTGTGTGTGTGTGTGTGTGTGATCACGGGATGAGTGGCTTAGTGTAGGTGTGGCACTCGGCACCTGCTGTGGGGAGTGTTCGCGCAAGTCAGTGTATTTGTGCCTCTGACTTCATCTCTCTCTCATCCCAGCCACTCAGAGCAAGGCCAAGCCTGGCTCCCCAGGTTGGGGTTCTGGTCTAATCCTTTGCTCCCTCCCCCAGGCCAGAGGTACCTGCCAACGTGGCCCCAGCCCTAGGCACCCTCAGCTAAGGAGCTGCAGTGTCCCCCCACTGTGGTAGGAGGTGCAGGGGCTTCTACAAGGGGGCTGGACCTGAGCAGGCGTGGGGCAGCCACAAGCCCCTCCTCTGAGGAGAAACCAAAGGGGCCTTGGAATCCCAGTTTGAGGACTGGAAGGGTGTGGGCAGGGTACAGAACTAGACCAAAGACTGGGTACTCTGGAAAACCAAAGCCTGCTCTTCTGCTCACACTGAGTCTCGACTGTAATCTAACCCTGGGGGTAAATCTTGTTTCACATTTCCAGTCCTGCAACACAGGCCCAATCCCTAGTCATGTAGCAAGTGGCCTCCTTCACGCAGCCTCCCGCCCTGCCCAGGCCCAGTACGCTCTGCACTCTGAGCCTTGTAGCCTAGTTAAGCCCCAGGCCTGACCTCCTAGAGCCCCTGAACTGTCTGAACTGCATGACGGGGATGACAACCCCCCGTACCCCAAAGATGAAGTCTGGCCTCCTCACCTTCTTGCATCTCTGCCCCTATGGGTAAAGCCTAGGCTTTCCTGGAAGGCAGCTCTGGAGATGACTCTTGACAGGCCTACCCCTGTCAGGATTCAGTAGCCTCCAGGACTGACTGGACATCCCCATGTGGGACCTGCCTCACTGGGACCCCTCATTCCCCACAGCTCTGCCCCTGGCCTCCAGGGAGCCTTCTCCTCCAAAGAAGCAGACAGCCCCACCCCCAGACACATCTGCCTGAGAGCTATACTGCGTCTCCCCATCTATATGGAGAGAGTTGTCTCTCTCCAACTAGAATTTCTTCCCTCTTCCAGGGCTAGAAGGGGAGGGATCCTTGGAAGAAGGATACCCTCCCAAAGTGGGTCTGTTCCAAGGACTCATGAAATGGTGACGTTTAATGAGAACCCCCCACCCTCCCACCCCTGTATATACATCTATAAAAAATTCAAATACAGCAAGTTACCATTGAGTCAGACTAGAAGGGACTGACAGGGCATTAAATACTGTGGGGTGGGAGCAGGGAAAGGGGAGGGCCGTACAAAATGGGGACAGGTGGGGGAGTGAAAAGTGTGGGCGCTGGGGGGAGGGGGATGGCTGGGCCCCCCCAGCATCAGGAGCTTATAATCTGATGGTGGCAACAGAGACCCTGGGACAGACAGGAGACTGGGGCAGGAGAAATTATGGATGTGAGGGGCTCCCCTCAGACCCCCCCAAGGGCTCCTGGGAGTGGCTGGCATTGGAGGGTCCAGCCCGAGGGGCCAGGGTGGGGGTGGGGGGTCTTTGGTGGGTGGGTTAGCTGCAGGGTCCTCCTCTCCTGAGGGCAGGAGGAGAGCCAGCATGGTGTGGCAGGGCTAGGGGGCGGCAGGCCCGGGCCTGCCGGGGTCTCTACAAATTATGTTTGAAGAGAATGCAGAAGGTCCTCCCGCCCGTGTGCAAAATAGAAACTGGGGTCTGCGGGCTCAGCTCCGGCCTCCTGGTCCTCTGCAGGTGCGCTGGCATGTCCTCACGGGGAGCCGGGCTCTAGGGAAACAGGGCAGGGGGCTGTAAGGGACGACGGCGGGTGGGGGTCCCCTTGGGCTCCCGTCTGCCACCCCGCCTCACTTGATTTACCAGATCAGGAGACTGTTGGCAGTGGCGGCGGCAGCCAGGGCCAGAGTTATGGGGACACTGATCAAGAAGGGTGCTGAGGGTCCTCCGCCGCTGCCCAGTTCCCCGGGGTCACAAATCTTCGTGGTGGGTGGAGGTGCCAGTGAGCTGGTGGTGCTGGTCGTGGTCTCTGGGGAACATGGGGGGGATCTCACTCAGGGCAGGGCCAGGGCTGCAGGCAACCCAGATCTGGGGGGTTCATGAGGCACACTGTTCCTGCTCTGTGTTAGACCAGTACCGCCTCCCCCATCAGACAGCCCCTGCTTCCTCTCTCAGACGTGTCCTGCCTCCCCCATCAGGCAGATACTGCTTCCCCATGGCTCACAGATGACCCCTCCACCCCACGGCCCCTACCAAAAATGTCCAGACAGCAAGGACAAGGCACAGCTTGGTCAGGACAGACAGACAGGAGTGTGGCGGCCACAGAGGCTCTAAGGCTCTGAGTCCTGGGAGGGGTGGGAAGGCGCAAGATAGAGCCAGGTAACAGCGCAGGCCCACTGAGAGAACGGGGTGGGGGGGCTCACCCGGGGCCTGGGCCTCAGTGGTGAGGTGTCGTGGCTCCTCAGTCCAGGGTGTGGCATGAGCGGCCACGCTCCAGTCACTCCACGTCCCAATCTCATTGTCCTTGGCCGCCACCTGGATGATGTACTCCTTCCCGGCATAGGCATCCGTGATGGTGTGCGCGGTGCCGTCTGACAGCTCCACCTGCAGCCCGACCGCGGGATGGGGGTGGCGCCCGGGGGTCAGGAGAGTGAGCACCCCCAGAGGAACTGAGAACACTGCCGGGGAGAGAAGAGTGAAGACCACCCCCCCGGAGGAAAAGAGAGCTTCCTGGGGGGGGAGAGAGGATATTGAGAATATTCCTGAAGGAGGGTAAAGACACCTCGGGGAGGAGACCCCAAGGGAGGGAAGAGGATCTTGAAGGAGTAAGAAAATCTTCCGGAGACCAGAAGCACCCCCAGGGGAGCAGGGGGACTGTGCTCAGTGTCTCACTCTGCTGTCATCCCAGCTCCCTCACAGTGCCCAGCCTGAGCCCTGATCTCAGTCCCTCCCTGGAGTGACAAGAGTAACAGGGTAAGAGAGGAGATGGTGATGTGCTCAGAAGGAAGGTTATAAATACAGACGTGGAGCTAGGCTGCCTCAGTCCAGGTCTTAGCTCCATCCCCTCTCAGCCGGCTGACCAAGTTCCTTCACCTCCAAATGCCTTGCTGTCCTGATCTGGAAAATGGTATTAATGATCTATCTCACAGGAGTATAATGAGGACTCAGGCACATGGGAAGCAACAAACACACTTCAGCCAGCTCTGTCATCATCAGAGCCTGGCTTCCCAGATGCCCAGTGCACCCACCAGCCTAGCCCCCATTGAGTCTCCCACTCAGGAAGGCCTCAGGGTGGTTACCACCCTGCCTGAGGCAGAAGAGGGTGGGGGCGGGGGCAGCTCCCAAGCAGCAGGACAGCAGGACAGCAGGACAGCAGGACAGCTGTTCCATTTCCTCCTGGAGGCATCGCCACCCCACCCCCGCCCAGGTCAGCCCTATTCTGCTGGTCTCCCCCACCCTTCAGCCTGGCCTGCCTGTCCAGCGCCCCTCCCAGTCCCAGGCTGGGCTCTGGTTCATCTCAGCGGCACCCGCTGCCTCATTAAGCCTCCTCGTAAACAGGGGCAGCCGGCAGGGGCGGAGGAGGGGGCTGCTCTGGGCCACGTCTGGCTTCAGGGCTTTTTTGGTCCCTGTTCCAATCTCCCTTCCGGGAAAACCGGGTCTGAGCTACCTACCTGACAGGCTGTGAGTACATGCACGCATGTGTATGTGTATTCATGTGTGTGAAGACGGGTCTAAGTAGAGCAGGAAGCCCCTCCAATAACGTCCCCCCCTCCCACCCCTATCTGTGGCCCTGAGGCGGAGACAATGGTAAAGGTCAGGGTCAGGGTGAAAGTCATTTAGGGCCCAGACCTGGGCTCACTCAGTCCTACTCCCAGCCCTGGAAGATCAGTGGACCCCACAGACTCTCCTCCCCTGGAGTTGGGGCCTAGTTCCTCCTCTGGTCCCCTATACCCTTTTGTCCTCCAAAGACCCCCTCTGGCTGAGTAGAGAGGAAGAGAGCTATGGAGAGCAGATCAAATTACCACCTCATTGGTGGGCTTATGGTGGGCACCATACACCTCTAGAAAGGTGGCCCAGGAGCCCAGTGCTTTCCTGGCAGCCACATCTAGGCTTAGGCCCTTCTTGCTAGGTTGTCACTGATCCCTTAATCCACACCCTTAAGAGAATGGCTCCTCAATTGGCAGGAATTCTCTAGTAGCTGGCATCTGCCTAGCCTCAGAGTCCTCCATCCAGTCGGCCGTAGCACATGTCAGACACGCCCTCCAGCCTCCCTGCTGAATTAGGGCCAGAGCAGAAGATGCAGGGAACCCATGCTGGGTCCCAGTACTTGCCTCACCTTGTCCATGCTGAGACAGCCCCTGCCACACCTCATGGTGCCCATTCTTGTCAATCCTGGCCTGTAGCTCTCATTTCCCCCTGAAAATCCAAGTGATGTTTTTCTCTGCTCTCCCCTCTGTACCACCTCCCGATCATACACCTGCTTCTCTCCAACATAAAGGATTAGGGAGAGTAGATTCTATTCAGAGCAAAATTCAAGTTCAAAAGAGCCCTAAATTGAGCCAACTCCAATGTCAATGAGATATGGAACAGGGCAAGCATGTGCCACGGGTCATACATGTTCTTAGCACAGAGTCCACGTATTTTGCTCTACCCACGTCAGTGTGGGGCTCAGTTCTGCAGTGCATGGTCTTGGCATGTTAGTCACATGCATGTGTGCAGCACGGTTCCTGCTGGGGACCACGTGTACGTGTGCATGTTCCTGTGTGTGTGGCGTGTGCGCCGCGATACGCGGTGCTGCTGCCTGCAGCTCGTTAGCAGGGGAGGGGGGCTTGTGAAACTAGACCCTGGTTATTAGCAATGCATTAGGCGCGGGCAGCTGGCCAGGCAGGAGGGACTCCGGATTCTGTCAGAGAACACGTGAGCAGCCTTTATGGGGGCCAGGCCTACAACCCGGACAGGCACCCTGGAATCACATTACACACTTTAAAGGCTAGCTGGAAGGGGGGCATGAGGAGGTGGGTTGACCCCTGGGTGCCAGTCTGGGCTAGCCTGTGGCGCACCCTCGAAGCCCCAGTCCTAGCCCACAGACCTCATGGGCCAGAAAGAGTGCCTACAACCCTATGGGCCCAGGGCTGTCAAAGGAGAGAGAACATTAAGTCAGCCCCAAATGCCTGGCTGCTCCTCAGAGCAACTGTAGCTTGATCAACATCGCAGACCACACCCTGACCCCATACCAGCCCTTATCCACTGCTTCGTTCCCAGACTAGGCTACCTTCCGACCTGTAACCTTGAGCGGACCCCTAAGCCACACCTGACTTTGGAGCCCTGACACTCATCATGGCCTGAACTCATACCCTGGAACAAGTGTGCCACCACTGCCTGATTCTGACCCCTTGAGCCGTTGAGACTATAAGTCCTTGAGGACCAGGATGTCCTGCCCCTTGGGGCCAGCACAGGCCCGCAGCCTGGGCCAGAGTCTAAGAGGGAGATGCCTGATCAGGGCTAAGAGCCAGAGTGAAGGAAAGGGAAATCTTACCTGCCCTGCTTGCCATCTCCCTTCCAGGATTTCTCCCCATTACCCCGGGCCACAAAAACAGATGTGTTCCCATCACACTAACGGAGGCCACTGGGAACCCTTTAGGGCCTCCGATCAGGATACCTTCCTCAGCCCCATCCATCCTTCCAAGCCCATCTGATCCCCTCTCCCTGAGGAAAGAAAGCCTCTCTGACTGCCCCCAGGCTTCACACTGGAACAGCAACCAGCTGATATGGGTGATATGGATACCTCCCACGCCACGAGGCTCTGATTCGGGCACTTGGGATCTGGGCAGGGCAGGGCACTCACATGCTGCCACTGGTCCAGGATGAGGGGTCGGTAGCGCAGAAAGAACTTGAGAGGAAAGGATTCAGGGTCGGGCCAGGTCGAGGGGGTCTGCCAAGTCACCTCTAGCCGGCGAGGGTTGCTGGGTACTGGTCGGGCTACCACATTTTCTGGAGGGTCAGGCTTCACTGTTAAGGAGACACAGCTTCATTACCTCACTAATCTCTGGGAACGACCCCACTATGTCAACCCCAGTTACCATGTCCACCATCTCGTATCACCAACCATTGTCCTAGTTGTCACGGTGGCCACCCCTCTTCTCTGCTGTCAATTCTGGCAACTACCATTAACAACCGTCTCGTTATTTCCACCTCTCACATCCCTGTCACCACCAAGGACTGTCACTACAGTCATTGTCACCAGCTCATGATAGCGATATCCCAAATTTCATCCCATCATCCCAACCCCATGCTCATAATGACCAGCATCCCAATTACCAAGTCTATATGATGGCTCCACCATTACCAGCATTACCTCCCCTGTCCCCGGGATCACCCCCTCCTGCACCAGCATCATATACTCCCCTCAAGCTTGGCTTTTCACCTCAACTCTTCCAGTTCCAAACTGAGATACACTCTCCCCTGGAAGAGTCTGGGTTTGAAGCTGCTCTGTGGGTCAAGGTTAAAAAATAGTCCACAGGTGTGGCAGTTCTGGGTTGGAGGTAGGCTGGGGACATGATGGGAGTCTAAGGGCCCAGCTCATGTAGAAACAGTCTGGGGGTCTCAGCCATGGTATGGAGGGCAAGCAGAGGGTCTGGCTGGGATGGGGTAAGAGCAGACAAGGGGTCTGGCTGGGATGGGGTGGGGGAAGGCAAGGGGTCTGGCTTCTGGCTGGGATGGGGTAAGAGCAGGCAAGGGGTCTGGCTGGGATGGGGTGGGGGAAGGCAAGGGGTCTGGCTTCTGGCTGGGATGGGGTAAGAGCAGGCAAGGGGTCTGGCTGGGATGGGGTGGGGGAAGGCAAGGGGTCTGGCTTCTGGCTGGGATGGGGTAAGAGCAGGCAAGGGGTCTGGCTGGGATGGGGTAAGAGCAGGCAAGGGGTCTGGCTTCTGGCTGGGATGGGGTAAGAGCAGGCAAGGGGTCTGGCTGGAATGGGGTAAGAGCAGACAAGGGGACTGGCTGGGATGGGGTAAGAGCAGGCAAGGGGTCTGGCTGGGATGGGGTGGGGGAAGGCAAGGGGTCTGGCTTCTGGCTGGGATGGGGTAAGAGCAGGCAAGGGGTCTGGCTGGGATGGGGTAAGAGCAGACAAGGGGTCTGGCTGGGATGGGGTGGGGGAAGGCAAGGGGTCTGGCTTCTGGCTGGGATGGGGTAAGAGCAGGCAAGGGGTCTGGCTGGGATGGGGTAAGAGCAGACAAGGGGTCTGGCTGGGATGGGGTGGGGGAAGGCAAGGGGTCTGGCTTCTGGCTGGGATGGGGTAAGAGCAGGCAAGGGGTCTGGCTGGGATGGGGCAGGGGCAGAGGGTCTGGCTGGGGTGGGGGTGGGGGTGAGGGCGGTATCTGTCCCAGTCCTGTCTCCTGTTCTGACACCTCATTCATCACAAGCCGTAAGGAAGCCATTAGCGTGGGGCGGGGGGGGTGGAGGCTGCAGCTGCACAAGGGTCTGGCCCAGCCTGCCCCCCTCCCCCTCCTGTATACTCTGGGAGCCAGAGAGACGATGGGGAAGAGCTGCTGGAAAGGTCTCTTGGCCCCTGCAGGTAAAGGACATTCACTCAAATGTTCACAGGCATATACGTGCCGTGAATACGTGTACACACGTGTACACACGCCCCACGTACCCAGGCACACCCGGGACTGTCCCCGCCAAGGCTCATATACGCCTCTGCACACTCCCACTGGAGGGCGCTGCAGGGACCACCCCCGCCCCACGCACCGATGGTGAACTCGTCGAAGGTGATAGCTGTGGCGTTGTGGCCCAGGGCATTGCTGACACTTATCGAGACTTTGTACTTGATGGTGGAGAACAGGTGCACGTAGCGGATGTGGCAGCGGTTCTTGAGGGCTGGGTCCTTCTCACAGACCATGATTTTGGAGCCGTGCCTGGGGAAGGGTGAGGCCCAGGCGCTGTTACCAACATCAAGGGTCAGATGGGGCAGAGGCTGGGAGAAGGTCAAGCCCGAGGCTGGGCTAGGGTCTGGACGAGGGCACGGTGGGCGGCTGGAGGGGAGGTCAGAGGTCCGGGCTGGAACCGGGTCGCGGCAAGTCTACTCACAGCACGGTCACGTTGAAGGTGTTGGGGACGTAGGTGGGAGTGGGCAGATGCCAGCTGCAGTAGAAGCCCTTGGGGTACGTGTTGGAGCGGCAGCTGAGCACGGGCTCCCGCGGCGGCACTGGGGGGTGAGGACAGCACGGTCAGGGTGTTCTTGGAGCCCCTCGTCCCCTGCACTAGTGTGGGGGCAGTGGGCCCCAGGACCCCAGTTCTCCCCCCTCAAGCCATCAGCTATGCCAGAGGTTGGGGAGGGGTGGCTGTCAGCGAGGCTCTGAGGCTTCCCAGGCCGCAGAGAGCCAGATGTTTAATTAAAGAAAAACAAGGGCTCCATGAAGAGGGAGCCCCCCCCACCTGCTCAGTGGAGGCGGGAACTGCGGGGAACAGGGGGCTGCGGGCCTCAGCTCATCAATCACAGGATGGAGGTGATGTCTGGGGGAATCGGCCCAGCCCCACATCTCCTGACACGCTGTGTCCATTCACAGAGAAAAACTGTGCAACAGAGGCTGCGGGGTGGGGGGCGGGGGCTGTCTTGACTGGGTCCTCTGGTTGCTGGAATAATCAGGGTGCACTCCCTGGAGAAGAGTCATCCCAGGCTTCCCCCAGGAGAGACTAAGAAACATGAGGACGAGCCTGGCGGTCCACAGGAACACAGCACTGTATGCACATGCGTATCCGGGTGTAGGTGTCTGCATGCACGGGTATACGTGTCACACGTGTCTCTGCGACACGAATGACCCACGATGGAATGTAGGTACATATACAGGAGTATCTAGCGCATGGCTCAGAACGTGTGTTCACATATGACTGCATGTGTGTGCATGTGCCTGTTGAGAGGAAGCTACTATTCCCTTGCTGTATACGTCACCCAAGCCCTAGCCCCCAGCTCCTCCATCACAGACCCTTTAAGAAGCCCTTTACTTGGTTAGCAGCAGCCTGCAATTCAGAAAGCGGAGTCCCAGAGAGGGACAGAGACCTGCCTGGGGTCACACAGCAAGCCAGAGCTGGGACAAAACCCCAGGATGGGGATACCACCTACATGACCACATTACACACTTGGGAAGTCCTTTCTGCTATCTAACCACACTTCTTGCTGCTGTGAGCACTTAGCCCAGCTGTCCCACCCTCAGGCACTGGGTAAGGCGTGAGGCCAGCCGGCTCAGGTTCCTGGAAGGAGGCAGCTTCTGTGATCTGACCCAGGCAAGGAATGTCCGTCAGTGGCTCCAGGGACACTGACACCTCCCTCCTGTGTCCCCCCCCTCCACCCCACCCCCTGCCTGACAGGTGGACAGGAAATGGGAGGGGGGCAGTTCAATAAGCCAGGGACTGTGAAAGGGGGAGTACATGTCTATGCTTGTCGAGTGGCCATGGTGACACATGGGGAACTGTGGGCTTTCATCCACAGTGTACACGTGGTTGTGACTGACTCCGATTGCATGTACATGTCCAGTGTGTGGGAAGTATATGTGTATCAGGGCCAAACCCCCAGGGCCCAATCTGGCTTTGCAGCAGGAGAGATGAGAGGGTCAGAGAGGCATCTGGGAAGCTTGGGTGTATGTAGCAGCTAGAGGGGGCTCTGCTGTGGGCAAAGGTGGCTCCGTGCCCCAGGCCTGCAGGGGAGAGCCAGAGCCCAGCGGAGCCCCACAAGGGGCAACCTGCATTCTATCCACTGCTGTCTGCCTCCCCTGGGGAGCCTTCCTGGCCCTGTGTCCACCTTGTGTCTGTTCCATGTTCATACTGTGTGCCTCTCATATCCCTTCCCTATCTGCCCAGGGACCCAGAGGCATGGGGGTGGGGTGGGGGATGGCCAAGGACACAGGAAGTGCCTTGTGGGGGCCTGTAGGCCAGGCCAGAGTTGGCAGCCACCCCAGGAGAAAAGGACATTCCGACGGCTGAGAAGCCTCCACTCCCCCCTCCTGCCACCACCCCTCCCTTAACCCCAGCTTCAAAGGAGAAGGGTGCTGGGGGTGGGGTGGGTACTGAAGTCTGCAGAGTCAGCTCCTTGCTGCCTGGGACTCTTTGGAGGGCAGAGCGGGCCATGGCACCAGACTCACAGGCCCCCTCCACCAGCCAGCCTCCCCACTGACTAGTCCCCTCCATTTCCCCTGACCATCCTCCCCCCTGAGACCAGCCTCCCCCTCAAACCAGTTCCTCTCTCTGACTGGGCAGGTCACGGGGGACCGGGGGGCCAGGCAGGGCTTTGTCTGTCATCTGGCTACTCCTGCCTGGCCTTGGGCCCTGAGTAGGGAAGGGCTTGGGTTTCCTGACAGGGACCAGGTTTCTCAGAGGGAGAAGGAGGAAAGAAAAACAAAGAAAGGAAGAAAAGGAGTGACTTGCTGCAGCTGGAGCCCAGCTGAGGGGCCGGGTGGGCGGAGGTGGGGGTGCTGTGAGAGACCAAGTGTGAGGTTGTGGGACCGTGTGCGATCAGGCCTGTGGTGCGCATGCTGCAAGATGGGGAAGAAGCGCTTTTTCAGACATGGCAATTGTGAGGCTGTCGCTGTGAACTCTGAGAGGCTTCATGTGCGTGACTGCAACCCTGGGCAGTTGTGTAACCATGCAACTGGCTGTGTGTGACTCTGGGCAGGCTGTCTGATTTCAAGACGGCCTGTATGGGTATGGCCGAGGGGCGGCGGTCCTCTCAGAACACGTGGAAGTCCGCCGTCGCGTCCGAAGCACAGGACGGCACGACCACACACCTGAAACACCATACAGGAGATGAAGCTTAAGCCTGAACGTATTTTTCAAACTGTGGGTGTGGGGAAGTGCCCAGAATCCCAAGTGCGCCCACACATATGAGCCGAACACCATGTGAGAACATGTTAGAGGCTGTATGTGAGCAAAAACTCATGTGGGTGCGTGTCAGTCATTCTCTGGGCATACAGACGTATTCCGGGATGCCCAGGCAGCCCAAGTTGCCCCTTGTGGGGGCTCCTGAGATGCCCACGTGACTGTGGCAGCCTGTGGCAGGATGACCTCAGGTCCCATGCGGGACCATGTATGCGTGTGCATGTGTGCGTGTGCCCCCGCTGGCCCAGGGTTTGTTTGTTTTCCTCCTAATTGGCTTGTTTTTCCATGTCCAGCCCACCAAACCGCATGTTTTTCCTCTCACCTCGCCAGCCTGCCTGGGCTGGAGCCCCCAGCACGCATGAGGCCTGCCCGCCGGCCCAGAGAGAAGGAGGGGCAGGCTGCCCACACCCCTGGCCAGGCCAGATCGGGTTGGGCGGGGCAGGGTGACCCTTCCAGCTTCAGCCCTGCCCAGGCCCCACCCATACTCCTCCTGTCTGGCATCAAAGCTCTTGGCCTGTCCCAACCTTATCTCATGATGTCTCTCAAGGCACCCCAACTTCTGGCTTCCCAGATGCCCCTCTCCTGCCTCCCACCTGTCTTTTTTCCCCCCAGACATCTTCATCCACAAGCTGCTCTTTCCTTCTCAGCCAAACAGAGCTGAGGGGGAAGCAGTGCTGAACCAGGGGTTCCAGAGCTCCTGTCCTGACCAATCAAATACAGATATGTAAAAACTGGACAAGGAACCGTCCATTTAAAATCAGTAAATCACTCTGATTTGTTTTAGCTTAAAATCAGAAAGACACTGAATCAGCAGCATCTAGTAAACAAAAGGATGCTACTAAAGGTAACCTGGTGATCCTGTTTCCTAATGTGGGCGGTCCTTTCATCATCCTGGGCGCAGGACTCCTCTGAGCTGTTTGTGAGCGGAGGGCAGGAAGGTGGACTGGGAGAAAGCAGTTCAGGGATCAGTCTGGTTAAGGGGACTTTCAACAGCATATTTTTATGATCAGTTTCCCTTGGAAATAGAAACATGAAAATCTTATATGTTTAAGATAAATATTAAATAATTTTTGGCTTGAATGACTCACAAATCAGGGATATCTTTGTCCTGTCCTCTGAGCGCTGGCTAGAAGAATAATTTGATACTGAGTGTTGCCAAACCCAGTCTCTTGTTACTAATATAAAGTGACTGAGACGATCATGATTAATGTCCCCTGTTCCTCTGACCAGCTCTTTAGAAGGAAATAAGGCAACGAGAGATAAGTACCTATTACTAATGCTATAGCCAATTCATGGCCAGTTCTCATCTGACAGGCAGGGTCTGGGGAGTGGTCAGCACTATAAAGGGTCTGGGGTCTGGTCACAACGGGGCAGCTGTGGGCATGTCCTGTGGGTACAGACTACAGACATCATTTCTAGACCCAATTTCCCTCCAATGACCTCTGAAAGATCAAGTCATTAGGAATAGGGCCCAGGGTCACCAAGGCCCAGCCATCATGGCCAGCCTTGTCCTAAGGACTTCAACGACTCAAAATGAGAAGACAGGGGTCAAATTGGTCTCATCCTTCTTCCATGGCACTTTTCTGTAAGGACATGGGGCTAGGTTGAGCGTTCCACGTCAACAAACCTCGTGGTGGGCCAGGGAGAACTCAGGTAAGCTGGTCCTGTATTTCTCAAGCTGGCTGACGGGAGTCATTCCACCCTTGGCTTGCACCTAAGACCCTTGGATATGATTGCCATCTTTTCAGTTTAAACACAGGAAGCCTTTTTTGTGTGAAAAGGAATATCCCCACCAAAACATATTTTCACCCCTCCTCTAACCCCACTGGTGGGTCTGTGTTTTGTGGATGACCATGAGCAACCAACCCTTCAGTCTAACATTTCTCATGGTTGTCCATACCAATCTCCTGACAACAGGGCAAGGGCCTGCTCCCAAGTCGCTCAAGCATCTCCTCCTCTCAGCAGCTCCCAGGGAATAAAGAAACCATCCTCAGAAAGTGGGGTGCATCCCCCAAATGGGATGAGGCCAGAGAAACGTGAATCTTTCGCTCAAGGAGAAAAGAAATGGAACTATTTTCAGAATATTCTGTTGGTGGGTGCCTGTCCAGCTGACCCTCAGAACACTGATAAGCTCCTCATTGCAACTTCTCCAAACCTGTCTTCTGAATCACATTCCCTTTTCCCTCTACCTTCCTGTTGGCTCCTTCTTATCTCTTTTTGTGGCTCACTTCTCTCCATCAACCCTTTATAAAGTGATGGTCTTCAGGGCCCAGTTTTGGATCCTCTTCTCTTCTCATCCCAGAGTTCTCTCCCTTGGCCATCTCACCCCCTCCATGGCCTTTCTCATCCCATCCTCAGCCCAGGCCTCTCCTGAGTCCCAGACCCTCAGATCCACTGGCTACAGCCATCAGTTCCCATTGTCCCCTGAGGACCCCAACCCAGCATATCTACAGCAGATGGCAGTGAGGCCCTAACAGATCCCTGGCCCATACCTACTGCCCTCTTCTGTAGTTATATGCCTAAGAGCTTTCATTGGTCACTAAAATCTGCATTGCCTGCTGAGGCATCAGGCCAAAATGCGGGGGGAATTAAAGCATCCCCACCCCCACCCCGGTAGACTCCTTCAACCAAGGATGGGTAAGAGTCAGTATATAAGCTTCTGAACTCCCTCACCACTCAGGCGGGAGAACTCCCAGGTACATGTTCTGCCTGGGCTCTCAGAGTTCTCACAGGGCGAAGCTGCAGTCGCCCAGAAGATAACTGGATAACTCCGTCTTTGTTGGTCCCCTTAACTTCCTTTTTCTAGCACTTTCTCATTTCCTTACGGCGTTTCTGCCACCTGACAAATAAACTACTTGCATATAAACTCTCATCTTGGGATCTGATTCTAGGGAAATCCAAAATAAGATGACTTGCATACTACTGTCCAAACAGAACACACTATCTTTTTTTTTTTTTTTTTTTAAAGTAGGCTCCACTTCCAACGGAGCCCAACACAGGGCCTGGACTCAGGACCTTGGAATCAAGACCTGAGTGGAAATCAAAGTCAGACGGTGAACTGACTGAACCACGCAGGTGCCCCCAGAACATACCATCTTCTCCTCCACTGACCCTTCCACCTTGCCTCTGTTGCAGGGATTGGTAGCACTAGCCATCCTGACGCCTCCTGCTCTCTACGCTCCTGTCCTCTCTACCTCCAATCCACCACCAACTCCTGGAGGTCCAACCAGTGAGGGACTCCATGCCCTGGTCCCTCGTCCTCATCATCTCCCCTGCATCCAGCAACAGCCTCCTTCCTGCCCTGGCATTGCTGCCATCCAACCTGTCTCTCTTCACTACCATGAGAAGGATCTCTTAAGAACATGATGACCCTGCTCAAGTCACTCCCTAGCTTCTAGGATCATGATTTGCCCCATCCCCTCCTTTAGCTCCCTTCCCCCATTTACACCAGCCCAAGTGGCCCTTTCATACCCTCCCAGCCTCTGAGGCCTATAGTCACACTTAGCTCTCTGCCAGAAGTGACTTTGTCAATGTATCCTCCAAATCTCCCAATCTCCGTGTGCCCCCCACTCCAGTAAGTGTTCTTTCTTCCCTGGAGCCTCCCAGAGTACCCGTTCCTCTACCTGCATAACCAGCCCCTGTGAGAGCACACAATGGAGTGGGGTCGCTCCAGCTTGGAGCTGTGACCCTAGGATTCTTCCCTACCAGGCCCCGGAAGGATCACGCCCTGCTAGCCCTCCTCTGCCCATCTTGTCACAGGGAACATGATTTCCGGATCTCACAGACCTCCGCGGGTGAGGTGGGAGTGGGATACATGTGCAAAATGCCCAGGGTGTGGACTCCGTGGCAAACACTGGGCTCAGAGGTCAGAAGAAAAGGCTTGGATAGGATCAGAGGGCAAGGGTCAGGGTGCTGCAGCCCCCCCCCCCCCCCCCAAGGAAGAGGACTTGATCTGAGCCAAGGGTCTAAGCCTCACTGACAATCCTCTTGAGTGAAGCGAGGGGCGGTCAGACGAGGGGTTGGGAGCAACACTTACAGCCCACACGTAGGAGGACCTGGTGGCGCAGGTGCCAAGAGTCACGGTGGAAGCAGGCGTAGAGGCCACTGTGGCCCAGTTCCAAGCCATGGAGCACAAGCTGAGAGCCGTTGAGCAGGTCAGGGGCCAGGTCTGTCCCATTTACCCTCCATGTGACTGCTGCATCCCAGTTTGCTGTCCCACATGGCAGAGTCACATCTGAACCTAGACGCTCATACTGCACATGGGGTGCTTCTGTGGGGGGCAGGGAGAGCACAGGGCAAAAGTGACAGGTCACAGCCCTGCCCAGCACCACCAGGTGAATGTGCATAGACGAGAGCCTCTGAGTGCAAAGTCTAGGCCAAGAAGCTCTGTGTCTGATGGTGTGAGTGTCAGGAGATGAGGAGCTTTTAAAATTTATCTCTAGCTGTGAGTGTCTCAGAATATGTGTGTGTGTGTGTGTGTGCGCCCATGTCTACGGATTTTGTGTGTGAATGGGTGATCTTCGGTGTGTATGTGTGTGGGAGAAAGTTTGTGTAGAGTGCTGGGAGGGGTTAAATCTCAGTGAAGACCCAGTTCACCTCCAGTCACTAGGTCCTGCAAGAGGTTTTCTTGACCCCCGTGACCCTAACCTCTTGCCACCTAGAGGCCCAGCCCCAACCACTGATATCTGCTACCCAGGCAAGCTGGAGCTGAGGGGCCCTACTTCTGGACTCCTTTCTCTGTCTCTTGTCCCCATCTTTGTCTCCTGTCCTGCCTCTCTCCCTCCCACTCTGATCGCCCTGACAAGCTGCCCCTAACCTGCCCCCGCTTCCACCATCCAGGGCTCGGGCAGCAGCAGAAGGAAGATCCAGGATGGGAGCCCTAGAGAACTCCTGGCAGCTATCAACTTTGTGAGACAGGAACTGCTGGGATTGGGGGGCATGCAGGGGAGTGCTGGGGCCGAGAGAGCTCTCTGACCGTTCCTCTCCTGCCCCCAGGAGGGGCCTGTCAGAGCCAAAAGCAAACCCCAGCCCTGGCCTTGGCCACCCAGGCGTGATGGACTGAACCCAGGAGACTGGAGTGGAAGGGTGGGAGGGATCACCTGTTGGGAGGCAGCACTAGGTGGGGGAGGTGAAGAGGACACAGATCTCCAGAGGAGGGGCAGGCATGCAGAGCTGGGTGATGCGAATCGAATCTCCTCATTCCTCATCCTGCCCCCCAAGCCTGGAAGGACAGATGCTTCCCTGGTCTTGGCCAGATCTGTGGAGTGAGGGTGGAAGGGGAAGAGTGCAAAGTGGGGGGGGGGGGGGCAGCGGTGCGGGGGGGCGGGGGGGAGGGGGGAGGGCTGCGGGATCCCTCGTTAACACTCCCTTACATCTCCCCTCCGGAGAGCCACCCTGCTGAGTTGGGGGATTTTCAGAGGCAATTCCTGTTAACAAGCCAATTAACTTGGGCCAGTGGCCTCTTAATTAGACTTGTTAACACCACCAGGACTGGGGGTAGGGATCTCCCTATGCCACCAGCCACCCCGCTCCCTCCGTTGCAGCCCCCTCCCCAGTACTGCTTTTCTCTGTGCTGGAACATCTGTCCCTGTTTGCTGCCTCTGTCACTCTTCCTGTGCCAGGTTCTCTCCGTGTCTTCAGGTTTCTCCCCCGCTGCCTGCCTCTGTCTTGCCCCTCTCTGAGCCTCTTGATCCCTGTCCCCTGTTGGAGGAGAGGGAAGCAGGAAACCCAGCCAGCCTTGACCACTGGTCTGTGGGGCCTGGGACCAGCCAAACAAAGGATGAACGGCAGAAGGGCGGTGGCTGGGGGCCTTGGAGGCCACAGCTGTGAGGCAGGACCAGAGACTGAATGGGGGCCTCCCCCCGACCAGAGGCCCAGTGTCCAAGGCTCAAGCCATAGAGCTCCCCCAATCCACCAGCCCTAGCCATTGAGCCCCCCTCCAACCTCCCCTGTCAAAACCTGGAGCTTCCAGGAAACATGCCAAGCCCCTCTCTCTGAACCCTTCCCCCCCCCGCCCCCCCACTAGCACAGGCTCTGCATCCAGCTGCCTGAGGAGGAGGCGGAAAACTGACCGTAGGGGAGGGGGTGTGGCCACCATGGTCCCAGCAGCAACACGGCAACACTGACCAACAGCAGCTCAGAACAAACTTGGACCCAGTGTGGTTCTTTAATACTGTGGGGCAGGTACAGCCACCCAAGAGCACAACAAATATAACGACAATGGGATAATGTTCCCAAATCACCCTGTCTGCCTCACAAAGGAAACAGAAATGCAACGTGACAACAATGACAAACCAACAATGTAAGGGCAGGGCAGGAAGGAAGACATGACAAGGCAATGACAGAAGACAACTACAGGCCACAATGCGGAGGTAGAGGGGGCAACATGACATGACAATCACGCAAGACACACACTGTCACAAATGCTACAGTAACACAACAACGGCAATATACACACAGCCGTGCAACAGCTCCAGAGATGGCAATGATTTAATCCTTTGTCTCTGGACAGCTCTCCTCCCGCCCCGTGGGTGCCCCTACTGATGTGCTGTCCATTTCGGAAATTAAATCAAGCGGCAGGGGGAGGATGGGGTTCTTGGCCTTGACGCGGTGACAAATGCTCCAAAGGAATCAGCTGTGAAAAGGTTGTTAGAAGCCAGTATGAGAGACAGAGACAGGATGAGGTCATGGACATGGAGAACACAGAAGGACAGAGCTGACGGCTCCCGCACACCTGTGCACACGGGCTCACATGGGGACCACATGCCGGAAACAGTCCCCCCGGGCATCCTAAGCAACTTCACATCGCCACACACACAGGATGGGGACAGTCACCACAAGAAGAACAAACACACACAGAACAACTGTCCACAAGGTCACAGTTACACAGGGAGCCGGTCCCACTTCAGGGACGGTTAACACCTCGTACAAGATGATCACACGCATGCACAGGGAGGGAATGTCACCCAAAGGCACACTTACACATAAGGGCACAGTCTCCCAGCAGGGAGACAACTGAACAGGGACACAGACATGCAAAGAGACAGAAACAGAGAAAAACTATCAAACTACCACACAGGGTACAGTCTCGACCACAAGGACAAAGCCCCACAAAGAGCATGGTCACACATAAATAGACAATGTCACACACAGGGCACAGCCCCCAAGGATACAATCACACAGAGAAATGCATCCGAACAGGGACATGGTCTCATCCACACAAGAACACAGCCTTAATGGACAAGGACAGTTAGACACTCTCAGAGATGCAGACTTAACGCTCAAGCCCTTGGTCACACGTGCTCTGCCTTTACCCATAATACAGGGCAGGGGCCAAGCCGGTGGGAATGGCCACTGGCAGGTCCAAGCAGGTGAGATCAGCACACAAGCCCAAGACAGACTGACTGCAGGCAGGGGTTAATGGGCTGGCCTGGTGGTCCTTTCACCCCCTGCCCACTGGGGAGTAGCCCTGGGGTGGGCTAGGCTCTTTCTGGGTCTCAGTGTCGGTCTCTCAAGGAAGAAGGCACAGGAGCCTTGACTCATTGCCCTCCTTGAACCCACAGCCTTGAGGGTGGCAAGGTGTGCTCTGTGCCTGGGCCCCAGAAGTGCCCCCACCCTCTCTGCCTCTAGCCAACCCAGCCAAGGGTGGCGGGGGGCAGGACCCATCCAAGGGGAGAGCTCCCTACACCTCAGAGCGTGTTTGAGGAGTTTCGAGGTCAGACCTTATGCTGATGTAGCCCTGTGAGGTATTGCCTCAAATGCAGTTTGAGCGCTGGTGGTCAAGTTAAGAGCGCACCTGTTTCCCAGCAGGGGGGCAGCTTCTTGCTGTGTGGGCTACAGTAAGAACTCAGCCCTCCCTGGACAAATGGTAGGGGGAAGGCAGGAGGCGGCCGATGGTCCAGCCTGAGCAATCTCTGCCTCGTCCAACCATTCCAGCTGACTTATCCCCTTCCTTAGTGTGTCAGCCCCCTCCCACTGCTCACCCTGCCCATCCCCACATCTTGTTCTCAGTCTACCATCTCTGTCTCCATCTTCCCTCTAGGATACGGGAAAGTAGTCTTGGCCTCTGTCACTCTCAGTGCCTTCCACGGCACCCCCACAAACCCCCATTTCAAATGAGATCCCATTTCAAAGATACTATACAGGGCCCTACCCCTAGCTGCCCCCAACTCCCATCCCACCTGCCTGTACCCTACACCCACTCTAGCGGGACGAGGAATGGATCATCAAGCCAAAGATACCATCAGCACGGGACCACGTGGAGTGACTGGAGGACTGTGTGTGTAAGACACCAGTGGGTCACCCAGCATATCAGTGCCATAGGACTCATGGGTGTGCATGTGTGACAATGCCAGGACATGCCGGTGTGTGGTCTTGGGTGGACACACACAGCTGTGTCAAGGAGGGCTCATACTCGGCTCTGGGTGGGGGTCAGCAGGGAGCACCACCCTGCCCCCCAAAATCCTCTCCTCCAGTACTCACCTTGAGGACTGTGTCTCTGGGTGTAGACAACGGCAGTGGCGGCAGCGAGCACAGCACAGCAGGCCCACGGGACAGGGGCAGCCATCTGCTGGGAGAAAGGGGGGTGGCGGGGGAAGGGGCAGCATCAGCCCAGGCAGGAACCTCCCGGGGAGCCCCTCCTGTTCTCCGGCAAGACCGGGAGATCCCAGCCCTAGGGCTAGGGGCACCCTGACCCCAAATGCCCTTCTTAATGGGGCTCAGGATTCTCTTTCGAGCAACAGAAAGCAACATTATTGGCATCTGTAGGCAAAGGCTCGCTAAGATGGTAGAAGGCAACCTACAGTGGTTTGCTGTTCACTAAGGCTGCTGGTTGCAGGATGTAGTCAACCACGGATGAGTTATGGAACACTGGTAATGCTAGGGCCATTTTTCTAAAAAAAAAAAATAACTTTACTGGTGAGGTTGGCTAATTAGCTATAAGCACTGCAAACCGAAAGGGTAATGTTTGAACTTAACAGGAGGTCTGTATTTCTCCAAATTGCCTTGAATGGAAGGCCCCCTGCTGTGCTCCTGGGGAGAGAGCCTGAAACCCGGATGCTCTGAAGTCCCTCGAATCTGCATCCCCACCTGTATCTGTACCCCCACCTCTCCGTGAGCCTTGCCCCTGGGCTCTGGGATGTTCACAGCAGCAGGGCACCAAGGTCAGATACGGCTCTTGCTTTAGTGTACAATGACCCAATGACCATGAGAGAAGGAGGGCATTTCACATGTAAGTCCTTGGCAGGGGCCCCAGGCCATCCTCCACCCCAGACACATGCCCCAGGAGCCTGAGACCCTCAGCCCAGATGTGTGTCGCGTCTACACACACCTCTGCAGGTACACGCAGCACAGCTGGGATGTCCCCAGAAGCCAGGATGGATCCAGGGGTCCCCTCATCTGTGTCCTGCTTCATGGGGTCGATCCACCTGCCTGCCCCCACTCTCCCCCCAACACATGATCACACCAGAGGGCAGGGAAATAACTATTTCCCGCAAGAAAAAAGCCTCAAATATGACTCTCTCCTACCCCAGTGTGAAGTGAGAGGGGAACCGTCAACCAGACAGAAACAGAGATCTAGAGAGGAATACTGCCAGACACTCAAGCAGGGTGAGCAGTACTGTCAGAGATACACCCTGACCCACAGCCGAGACGCTGCCCCAAACCACCACACAGAGTCCCAGGGAAAGAGCTCCACGCACAGCAGGAGATACATTAGAGACACTGTGTGAGGCACCATCAGATAAAGCCAGAGAAACGGGTAGCTATGACCCGATAAACAGGCAGAGGCATGGTCAGGGAAAGACTGACACGGGACCAAAGGGTCCACCAGAAATACTGGAAAAGGCTCGGCCAGATGCGAGCAGACCTACCCACAGAGAAAGAGCAAGAAACACAGGCACAGAAACCATGAGCGACATAGCAAGAGGACTAGAGACACTGTCAGAAACCCTGCCAGAGAAACTGCCTGACACACAAGCAGAGAAATACCAGAGAAACTGATAGACACAAACAGGCATACACCCAAAAAAACAGCTAGAAAGAGAGCCAGAGACATATAGCCAGATGCTCCGTCAGGAAGTATCCACACCACTGAAAAGAGTGCCAGGGACACTCAGACACACAGACCCGCTGCCAGACACAGCCTGAGACACTGTCAGAAATACTGCCAGACAAACAGCCAGAGGACTGCCAGAGAAACTGCAAACGGAGCTACAGCAGGGAGGAGACAAATGTGGGGGTCAGCCTGCAGCAGTGAGTGGGAGAACTGGAGAGAATCTGACTTCCGGGGGCTCCTGTATGGGACAGGGCTCCGGCCTGCCTGTGGCGATGCTTCGCCCTCACCAGGCAAGGCCCCCCTTCTGCACCTGGCTTCCTCCAGCCAAGCAGCAGGTGCTCTTCCTGCCCCTCCCTGGCACAGCTTCTCTCTCTAGGCCCCAGGTGGCTTTGGCTGCCCCTCCCACTTCAGGGACTCCCAGGGCCTTAGCTACCACTTGGCCTGGCTCCTCCTGACCCTCAGCCACTCCCCTATCTTCCACTACTCCTCAGGCCTAGAAGGTGAAGACGATGGCCAACATCACAGTCAGCGAGCAGTGGGGCCAGAAAATGAACCCAGGGACTGTCTGAATTCAGAGGAAGGGAGAGGCAGAGAAAAAGAGAGGCAGGCAAGAGGCTACAGGCCTACCTGGTTCCCCACCTCAACCCTTGCAGGTAGGCCTCAGACGCTCCGCCACCACCTCTGCCATCTGTCCGTGCCTTTCTCCTCACAGCCGGGAAGACACTCTATGTCAGTGCCAGGCCCCACTGCCCACTACGTGGGGGCAGGAACCAGGGCCCGGGGAGGCAGAAGGGAGCAAGGTTGGATCACAGGATGGAAGAGCGACAGGGTGGCCCTCTGCTCCCAGCTCCTTCCTGTCCCCGTTGGGGGTGCAGGGGCAAGAAGACAGCCTGGCATGAGTGTGCCTGCATATAAGCACGCACGCACACGCGCGCACGTGCACACGCATGCACACACACACACACACTCAGGCCCCCTCAGGGGGAGGGGTAGCTTCTTCATCAAAGTCGCCTCCATCAGCCCGATGAGTTACTGTAAGGGCCGGGCCCTGGGCCAACGGAGCTGCAGCCATGGGAGACGGGCGCTGCCGAGAGCGAGTGCTGCAGAGAGTGGGGGATGGGGTACCGAAACAGACACTGCATGGCTGGGGGCACCCAGAAAAGGCAGAGACCCCAGGAGGGGGCAGGAAAGAGGCCAAGAGAGAAGGAAAGCCACGAGCCAAGACCCGGGGGACAAGGAGAGACCAAGTTAGGGAGAAATGGGAGAAGAGACCCAGGAAGAGAGATGAGGACAACAGGGGATGGGCAGAGATTCAAGGACAGAGAAAGGGACAGATCCAGAGAGGGTCTCTGTGCCCATCCTAGAGCATCTCTCTAAGCCCACCTAGCTCCTCCAGTGCTAAGGGAGGATGGTGTCAGTGCAGCCTTCCTGGAGGCTGTAGGGCTTCTCCCTGGCGATCCAGGAGTGCAGCCCCCAGGGAATAAGGGAAGACTAAAACCCTACCTACCCCACCCCATCTCTGCCCCTGCAGATCCAGAAAACCCAAGCCAATTTCACTCCTCCCTTCCTTCAGAGTCCCAGCTGGGTCCATTCCCAGGTAGGGAAGCTGAGGCCAGAGGCATCCAGGCTCTATCTCCACCCTGCCCTAGCTCACCTCGGGCCACCCATCCCAGGGCAAAGAGCATCCTCCCCAAGAATTTTCCAAGTCCACACCCCATGGCTCTGGGATAGATCTGGAGGATAAATCCCATAAAGCCTCAGATAGGGGCTATGCAAACTGGCTGAAGCTCTCTGTAGACCCCCTGCACGGGCCAGCCTGGCCTCTAGCCCCAGCCCCACAATGAGGAGGCAACAGAGGGCACTCATCAACAAGACAGGAGGCCAGTACCTAGCAGCCCACACCCCCTGTTAACACAAGGAGCTCAGCACCTCTCCTGACACAGAACCTCACTATACACACACAGGTGACACATCAAGAGACAAATCCTGGGCCCCCAATTTACTGTCACTGTCCGACTGTGACACAAAGACACCATTACACAGTGAGAACACCACCCAGTGAAAATGACCCATGTGTATAGTTGACAATGACACACCGGGATATTGACAGTCATTATAGTGACAATGTAGTGAGTGACAGTCATAAATAATGGCACCAACAAATGGGGCAATGACACCTGTTGACACAGACAAAATCACAGTGACAATAACCCCAGAATCAAAGATGCAATGAAATGGACAGTCACAGAGAGTTACAATGACGGTGCATCCACAGTAACACAGGGATGCTGACAGTCAGACTCAGTAACATGGACGGTCACACAGAATAACAGCGGCACCACAGAGGCTGGCAATCACTGGCAGGGACGCTGACAGACAGTGACAGGCTCCAGATTAGGGACCTCAATTACTCAGTTTCTGAGTCTGGCTTAAGATCCAGAGCCCAAGACCCCTCTTGCCAGCCCCAGCAAGGTCCCAGGTGCCTTGTGCCCCCAACCCTCACCCCTTGACCAGCTGAAGGCACGACCTGAGGATGGGGAGGTGTGAGTCTGGAGAGCTCCTATTAATCCCTGCAGAAGGTTACAGAGGCCCAGCCCTCAGGAATCCCGGCCACATCCAGAGTAGGAGTGGGAGATTCTGAGCACCACTGGCTGGGGCCCAGCTCTAACTGTGTGTGAGTGTTGATGTCCAACAGTATGTTCTGACTTCAGGGCGTTAGTTGGGGTGGGTGTGCTGAGGGTCAGGTAGGCTCAATTTGGTCTGAAGAATGAATGAACAGGGAGGCCCATGTGGTATGCCCCCAAATTGAAATCCAACCAAAGTCACCGGCCTACACTACCCACCCCAACAGGGATGGGTGAGGTCAGGAACATTCATATCTGTGGGAGGGCATCTAACCCATAGCATGGCCAAGGTGACATCTCCACAGCTTCTAGTCCGCCTCGGTAACCCCCGACTCCAGAATCCCTCAGTGTGAGGGAAAAGACACTTTGTCCTAGGGCCTCGCCTCCTCCCCTCTCCCTACAACAGCTGTAGAGGACCCATCCTGAGAAAAGGCAAGAACACAGGACAGGACACAGCATGGATTAAGTGACTCAAAAGCCTGGGAAACTCTAGAGGCCTCAGACCTGCAGAGGAATTAGGGCAGAGCAAGGAAAAGAGACACCTTCACTTGGAGGTAGAGAGAGAAAATGAGAGAGCGAGGGCAGAGACAGAGACAATGATGTGGTGGGCAAGGAGGAGCAGCACTGGCTGAGGGAGAGCCTGGGAGGGACAGTCAGGGCTGGCTGGAAGCTCCGGGAGGGGGAGGAGGGGCTAAGACCAAGAGGCCCCCAGATCCCACCAGGCCTAGGCAGCCTGGACAGCGTGGGTGGTGGGGGCGGGGGCAGAGGCCTGAGCAGTCCAGAGGGTGTGTGAGTGTTGGGGGGGGGGATATAGACTGAGGAGGGAGGTCTGGCCCCTGGCAGCTGGCCCAGCAGACCCCCCACTGGGGAGGGGGCAGGCCTGGGTCAGGGGCCAGCTCCTGGGGCCGGGGCTGGCTGGCCACTGGGCAGGCTCCCATTCCCTGTGGTGTCTCTACCTCCTATCTCTGAGTTTCTTGTCTCTGGCTCATTCTCTCTGAATCTACACCTGGCCCTCCTCCCAGCTACTGATGCCCCCACACTGAGGGGCATAGGAGCCGTGCCTGGGTTCAGGATTCAAGCCTTATCTCCTCCTGCGTTACCACATGTCCACCCACTCCAGGGTCAAGCCCCAATGTTCAGGGGAAAGGACCCCACCCAAATGTAGGCCCCCGTCTCCCCCCATAGAAGGGGGCAGGAGACGCTCAGCACCAGTGGGAGGCAGGGGGAGCAGTCCCCCAGCTCCAGCCGCTGGCTGAGGTTGTGGAAAAGGAGGCGGCCCAATGTGAATGAGTTTGGGGGGGAGTGGGTATCCGCACCTGCTATTGTGACCTCCACAGCCGGAGATGGGGGCCTGGGGGGGACAAGATTCCAATGGATTTTGGCAGCAGCCCGGACTCTCAGTGCTCAAACCCCCCACCTCCAGCCTCTTGCACCGTGGGGACCCTGAGATCAGCATGTGCATGCCCTGCTGCACGTGTGTGCAGGCGTGTTGTGGGGGGAGCCTGGGGCGTTCCCATGATGGGCCTGGCTGGGCAGCGGGGAGGTGCCTGGGGGAGGTGGGAATCTGAATCCTACCGGCCCATGCCCACAATGTGGAGCCCTACTCAGGGCCCTGCATGCTGTCTGCGGACCTGGCATGGGCTTATATCCGCACATATATGCAGGCCTGGGCTTAAGCAACCCTCTAGGTGCAAAAGGTCTGGGCTTTCTACCTCGAAAGTCATCTGGACCAGTCCCCTGCCCTTCAAATGGGGAAGAGGAAGGAGCAGATAAGCGCCTATCTTCCCTATGGGTACATGGGCTCTAGACAACTTCACAGAACCTGGCTCACAAGCATCAAATCCCGTAGCCCCTGGCCCCAGTCCAGGGTCTTTTCTTGCTTCTAGAAGAATTGGGAGGACCCCTCTACCTAGAAAAGGGCCATGCACCAGTCAGGTTAAGTATGCAGGGAGTGGGGGCTGCTCCTCTTGGATCGACAAACCACTACAGCAGGAGGTGAGACAGCTGGAAGAACTCCCATTCATTGCTGGGGGGTGGGCAGAGTAAAGGGTTGAATGAGACTTCCCAGGCGAGGGTGGGGGAGCCTCCCAGCTGATGAGGCAGGGCAAGAAGGAGGCTGCAGGCCCTCCATGAAGAGAGAAAGATGGACAGAATAGCTTTGCAGACTCGGGGGCTGGGACAAAGACCTACTTGCCTCAGCATCTCTCACTACACCCCACCCCTGGCCCCATCACTGCTATGGTGCCGACACACCCTCAAAGGCCTATGCTTGCAAGCGTGCGCACACACACACACACACACACAGGGGTGGGGTGGGGGGGCGGCACTGCATATGAAGCATTGGTTTCTAACAAAAAGAACTGAAGATGGTCTTTCTGACAGAGCTAGAGTTGGGGGGAGGGGGACAGAAACTTCGCCTGTCTTCATATAACAGTGTCCCGTTGTCCCTGCCCCCTAGCATGCATGCACACTGCACACACTACTTCTGAGGAAGCTTCTGGGCTGCTGGGCAAAAGCAAGCCATCCTCCCCCCGCCTTCTCCCTCCTCGCAGTGGGGAAGCCAGAGCAATCTGTTCCTGATGGGCAAACACAGGCCTGAGTATGTGCGCACACATGCTCACACACACACCAGCAATTCAGGGTCACACGGCACCTGGGGCACACTTCCCCCCGAGACGTAGCCCACACTTGGGACTCTCGCTACTGCTGGCAGAGCTCCCCAAAGCCCTCCCTACCTCCGCAGACACACCCAGGCGGCCTCACAGACACTGGCACTCAGAGTTCACCACCATGACCACACATCTCGGCCTCCCACGTGGACACCCACTGCCACAGCTTCGCACACGCTGTGCATGCACACACGTATTACAGTCACACACGCAGACTCTCACACGCGCTCACTCAAAACGGTCACAGTCTCACATATGGATGCCATCCCACACTCGGAGCAGTCTATCTTCCACATAGATACCATCGCACCTTCAGAAACCCAGAGTCCCCCAGCCACCCTCAGCCTCTCATGCTCCCACATCCAGCAGTGGGAAATACAAAGATACACACTCACAGCAGTCATTCCATGCTGGGACCTCGGACTGCCCAGGCTGCACTTGGAGGGGTGGAGGCTAAAGCTCAGGGTGGCCTAAGGAAGGAAGGAAAAGGGAAGGAGGAAATTTGTTGGTCCTTAAAAAGCAAGGAGATACGATAATTTCCTAGATGGCTCCTTCCTCCCCTGGCCCTGCTTTCCCAGCATTTGGGAGTAAGCACAGACCCAGCCAGACAGGGTGGGTGGGGTGAGGAAGCCCCTGGGTGAAGGGGTGGCACTGGTAGTAGCAGGAGCCAGAGAAGCCCAGAAAGCAGCCCACACCCCAGTGCCCCTCCTGCCTCCTCCCCTCAGCAACCCCTCTTCTCCAGGATGAGAATCAGCAACAGCGCTCAACCTAGCCACCTGCTGTGTGATCCCGAACCTCTTCAAATCCTCTCTGTGCCCACAACTATCTGGAGTGCACCTGCCTGTCAGGCTTGGCTGCAAGAGGCAAGGTAAGGAGAAGGAGATGTGGCCCAGACCTCAACCCCCAGCCCCTGCCAAGGCCCTGTCATCACTGTCAGGCCCAAAGAGAGATGGGGACAGCACTGGCCAAGCCAGTGCTCCTCTAACCAATCACTGAGGACAAGAATCCTGAAGTGTCCTTGGACCCTGTAGCCCTGCCCCCCATCACAAGAAAGGAAGCTGTGTCGCTGTCCAGGCAGAATGGAATCCAAGCTGTGCTGGCCAGGCCCCAACCCGGGAACAACTGGCAATGCTGTCGACATCCTTACCACTTACCGCTCCAGGTGTCGTTTGGGCCCTGATGCTCTATCCTAAAGGGAGTATGACAGGTTCCAAGGAAGCCATGCAGGGGAGCAAACACCAGACGGCAGACCGGGCAGGCGGGACAGGCCAGACAGGATGTAAGGAAACCAGGTAGGGCAATCCCATAAAGCCAGGTGGTAGGGACTTAAGGAGAGCGGACAGTGCCAACAAAAGAAATCAGGCAGCAGTGTCTAGGGAAACCAGGTGACAGGCCCAAAAGAACACAAGCTGTGGGGACCAAATGAAACTAGGCAGTGGGGACTAAAGTTTGCTAGGAGGTGGGGACAAATGAAGCCAGGCAAGAGGCCCACAGGATGTGAGAAAAGAAAGATATCAAGAGCTCATCCCCCTCTGTGTAGATGTCACCCCCACACCCTGGGCCTCTCTCTCGGTAGCCCCCTTCCCACCCAGGTGGTGGTCCCCTCCCCCAGGCCAATGGACACTGCCAGAGCCCCCTCCTCTCTCAGAGGCCTGGGCCGATTGCAGCCAATGGGCCCCGGCCCCATCCCTGGGACCTCAGGAAGTCCCAGTCCCTCCCACCGGCTGCAGAGGCAGGGGGGCTGGGTGGGGGGGGGGAGAAAGAGAAGAGAGACAGCTTGGCAGGGGGAGCGCGCCGAGCAGCCGCGGGGGGCGGGGGCCGAGAAAGGAGCGGGAAGCTCCGAGGCGGGCTGGAGGGCGGGCGCGGGCGGGGGCGTCTCAGCGGCGGCGGTGGGGGTGACAAGTTCTCCGGCCCCGCGGCCGCGCCGCCACTGACCTGGGTCCCCGCGCAGGCGCCCCGTCGGTGCCTCCGGCGCTCCGTGGGTCCGCCAGGCAGCCCGCGGGCATCGGGCCCCCGGGGCTGGGGCTGGGGCCCAGGAGGCCCGAGGCGGCCCGGGGGGTAGGAAACCCCCGGAACAACACCGGGAGTCTGGGCGCGCGGGCGGCCGGGCTAGGGGCCGGGCTGAGCTGTGAGCAAGCGAGCGAGGCGGCGAGCGGGCCGGGAGGAGGGGAGGAAGGAGCGCGCCTCGAGCGAGCGAGCGAGCGAGCGAGCAAGGCGAGCTAGCAGAGGGAGCGAGTGAGGGACGGCAGGCAGTGAGGTCATCCTTTGAATCTAATTGTCTGAGTCAGGAGGAGATGTGGCACTTGATGCTGGGGGAGGAGAGGGGGAAGGGACCCTCGGCTCAGAGCCGGGCCCCTCCTCACGCCCAGGGCGGCCAGGGCCTCCCTTCCCCAGCCCAGGGCGAAGTTGCCTCAGGCCAACTCCGACGGACCCCTTCTCGTCTCAGGGTTGACGCCTCTGCAGCCAGGGGGGATCAATAAGCCATGAGATGTGGGACCCAATCCCACATCACCCCAGAGAGTGGCCATCTTCCTACTCTCTGGGGGTGATGACGACCCCCACCCAGGCCCAGGTCAAGTCCCTAAATTTCTGAGTTTAAAGGGAGGCCCCCAAACCCACCTCCAGGTCTTATTCCTACCCTTTGAGGATAAAGGGAGAACTTCAGCCAGGCTTCCAAGTTACCTTTGTGCACTTCAGGAGCATGGAGTCCCCAGTTCTATTCCCCAAGTTACGTCTTGCTCTGGGAATCTGGGGGAATCTGGACATTGGACCCCAGCTCACCTTCTTGCCCTCTGAGAATGATGGTGCAGTGCCACCCAGTCTTCCAGTTACTGCGCTTTGGGGGGTCTGAGGACCCCCAAATGACCCCAGAGTTCTCCCTATTCTGCTTGCCCAACTCTTCAGGAAGGGCAAGAACCAGGTCAGATTCCAGGGCTACTCTATGGTGGGGGTGAAGGGAGACAAGATGGGCCCTGGGCCTGTTAGGTATGCACGCCCATGCGTGCACATATAAGCACATGTGCACATCTGTAAACACACTGGGGGAGCACCAAACAGCTGGGGATGCTCACACCAAGGACCACACACTCCTCCCCTCACCCCTTGGGGGGAGGGGTGATAAATATTTAAGGGGCTTTTAGTTCAGAAGGGGCTGAAGCTGGAGGAGGGAGGAGGATCCACGATGCCTGATTAATGGGGTTACAGGCTTGGATCAATCCATCTGCCCGCTGCTCCCTCCTCCCTCCTCCTCCCTCTCCCTCCCTCCCTCGGCCTAATGCGCTTTATCAGGAGACGCTTTTCTGACTTGGCAGCGTCGGGTGTTTTAAATAGACCCATTTAGAGCAGGGGTTGGGGGAGAAGCGGGCGGGGAAGGGAGACAGAGATTGAGACAGGCTAGGAGACAGAGATGATTCAGGAGAGAGACAAGCCCTGGAAGAGAGACCCGGAAAGGAGAGACAAAAGGAGATGCAGAGAGACTGAGGATGAGACTCCCAGGGAGGCTGATATGGGAGGTGGTAATGGGAGGCCAAGGGGAAGCTGCGGGGCCACGGAGCAGAAACAAAAAAAGAGACAGAGAGGAAAGGAGCCACCAGCAGCGGGGAGAAACCGGGAGAGAGGCTCTCTGCAAGGGCTGAGTGATAGCCTGGGAGACAGCAGATATCTTTTATTTCCAAAAACAGGTTTTCATCCACTTTGTTAAATTAAAAAGCTGTTTTTAAAGTGGTGCTGGAGGTGCTGCGGAGGGAGGGTGGACAGCACTGCCAAGTCCTCCCTCCCAGCCTCCTCTTGGTGGGGGGCGGCCCACAGAAGCTGCCTAACCCTTAACCCCCAGGGGTGTTCTCTACCTCCCCTGCTCTCTGTGATCCTCTGGGATCCCCAGAGATATGGTCAGGGCATCAGAGCTACTGTTCATTGGCAGGAAGACCTTCCTGCTGTCTGGCCTCAGTCCCTCCTGCTGCAGGGAGCCCAGTCTCTTGCCTGACCACTACTAGCTTTCTCTTCTCCAGCCCCCTTCTTGGGAGATAAGATGTTCCCAATTGTGGGGGAGGATTGTGTGCCCTCACAGCAGTAACTCACTTTACTAACAAGCCATGAGACTCCTCCCAGGTGTGGCCCCTATAAATATTTATTATCTATTGTTGTGTAAATCGGAACTTCTATCAGATACCCTACCCTTGTCCTTGGGTCCCCTGGGAACAGTGAGACTGGAAGCTTAACTCTCTATAGCCCTCTGGGGCCTCCCTTCCTCTTCAGAACCCCAGCTCCATTTTAAGTCCCTTTTATGGCCATGTGTCAGCCTGGGATACCCCATCCCACCCAACAACACCCCAGTCCTAGTTCTGAAGGGTCAGTCAGTCCCCCATTCCTGGGCCGGGAAAATGGCCAGTCTGTTTGGGAGCTGAGATGAAAAGCCGGCTGGCCTTTGTGGGCCTCTGGCGGGTTTTGGACAATAGGCTCTTCCGTTCCGCTCCAGTGCCTCGATTCCTTGGATGCCCCCACCCGGGGCTGCCAATGGGGGGCCCTGGCTGGCCTTAATGAAAGGCAGAGAGAGTCAAGCCCAGCCCCATAGCTGGCCCCAGAAGATTTTGGAATTTCCGACCCCCATCCCATCTATTCTAAGCCCAGCTGCTCCCCCAGTCAAGCCAGAGAGATGCTTTGGGGGCAGAAAGGGAGCCAGACAATGAGACAGAACATACTCCCACATCCAGGACGCAGCCCTCTCTGGGTAGACCTGGCTTTGCCCTTGCCTGTGTGACTGCAGGTAAGTCCCTTCCCCTTTATGAACCTATCAGAGGGGCATGAAAAGCCTCAAGAGAAAGAACAGAGGAAGAGGAGGAAGGGATCTCAGCCCCTCCTTCACTCACATCCCCAAACCTGTAGCTCCACCGCACCAGCCTGATGCCCGGAGACTGGCCTGCCTCATTTGGGTCCCCAGCACATACCTCTTCACCACTGGCCCTACACAGAGCACATCAATGTCCTCCTCCTCCAGACCAACTTTTTCCAAGACTTCCAAAACCAAGGGAGCAGGATGATGCGACAAGGCTGGATTCTGGAAGGGCAAAGGGCACAAATCAGAGGTCACAGAGGAGCCAAAGGCCTAAGTCCAACAAAGAACTCATTCCATACAACCTCACCGAGAGAAGGGGAGACTGAGGCAGCAGCATTTAAGTGTCTACAAGAGGGAAAGTTGGAAATAGTCCAGACTCCCTCCGGCACCCCTTGCTGACTTCAGGTTCTAAACCACAGGGACAAAGGGAGGCCAGAAGTGGCCTAACACCACATGTGCATACACACTCATACACACCCACAGACAATCCAAAGTTCCCACACAACCAACTCACAGGCACAAGTACCTGAACATCACATACTTTCTCATGTGGCCACTGGCAGGGCAAAAACACCCACCATCATACTATCCTCTTCCTCTGCTTCATCACCACTATGATTTATTGAGCATCTGTTATGTACCAGGAACTGTATCAAGCACTTTATATGCATTATCTCATTTAATCCTCGTGATTTCTCTATGAGGTAGGTTCTATTATTATTCCCCATTTGACAGCTGAAAAAACCGAGATTCAGGGAGGTTAAGTCATTTGCCTAAGACCATATAGCTGATCAGTTCCAGAGCATAGATTTGAGTCCAAGTCTAGCTCCAAAGCCTTTGTGCTATACTAATTTACTTCTGCAGTTCGCTCTCTTGCCTGCACAGTGCCTTTCCCAGTAATAATAGTAACAGCTAACACTTGTTCAGGGTTCTTAATGAGTCAGGTATCATGATAAGTACTTAACATACATTTTGTACTGAATCATCAAAACAACCTTTGCAGGTAATCCTGCTTCCATTTTACAGACGAGGAAACTGAGGCTCAGAAAACAAAAGCACCTTGTCCAAAGTCACACAACTGGCAGGTGATAAAGGAGCTAGCACTGTACTCAGGGCTGTCTTGAAAGCCACTATTGCTTCTCTGGGCTCCAGTCACTTAACAGAGCCCTCACCTTCTGCAAGACCCCAACTTAGTGTCCAACTTCCTCTCCCCCCCCTCAAAAAACAGGTCCTAGATGTGTCTGACAAAGGCATGATCAGGTGCCTAAACACATACCCATGAGAAAGGGTCTCCATGTCATCCAACTCTGCCCAAAGATGCAACCAGAGAGAGATGGCCACAAACTAAAATAAGGTGTTAGAGACAGGCTGGCTGGTGGTAATAGATACAGACACACCAAGAGATAGGCCCCAAGAGAAGGAGACGGAGAGGACGTTAGAGACAGAGAGACACACATCAGGCCAAAGAATAGTCGGGAAAGGAGACAATCGAGGGAGAGGAGGGTACAGGCTGATATGAAAAAACACAGATACACACTAACATAAACAGACACAGACACACATAAAGAGCCCTCCAGGGGCTCCTGGCTGGCTCAGTCAGTACAGCATGTGTCTCTTGATCCTGGGGTCATGAGTTCGAGCCCCATGTTGGGTATAGAAATTACTTAAAAAAAAAAAAAGAGCCCTCCAACCTTCACAAGAAAAAAACTGTAAGCAAACAAGGCTCAGGCTGTGTGTGGCTTGTGTGTGTGTCTGCATGCACACATGTTGGGGGGGCATGCAGAGTGTATCGCTACGCACATTACACCAGCTGCTTCCAGCAATTTCATCTGATTAATAATAAATGCCCCATAATTACAGCTGCTCCCCCAGCCTTTCTTCTTGTTTTTTGTCAGCTGCCGCCAGGCCAGCCCCCTATGGACCCCATGGCCCTCTCCGTCCTCACCTGCTGCCTTCTAGGAGGCTGAGGGGACATAGGCTGATGGAGGAGGCCTGACTCCCAACTGAGAGGGAATACCCATCTCTCTAATTGGGATTAATGCCCTCTGCCTCCAAGCAAAAGATCATCTCCCTCAGGTCTCACTCAGCACTCTCCCCTACCCTGGGTATAACCTGTGACCCCTAACATGGCCTAGGAGCCCAAGTCTGGGAAGCAGAGACATGAACTCTGAACTCCCCTTGCCCACTCTTTATCATTCACTGGCTGAAAAAAGTCTTCATTCACAAACTTCCCCTAGCCTTGGAACCCCACAGGCTCAAAGGAGAAAGGGACTAGTTCAACGGCCCCTACCCCATCATTCCAACCCAGGCAGCCCCAGAATCTCTGCCTACTTGTGCACCCTCATGTTTTGGACACTCCGTGGCTCCACCTCCATTCCTGAGCCCCCCACCGGGTCCACCTCCTTCCAGGCCTCCCACCCTAGCTCTCCAAGGCAGCTCTATCAGAATCAGCTGCGGGCGGGTTTGTGCTGATCTGTTTCTAATCGCTGGGGCCTGGTTCACGCTTGCCCCCCCCAATATTGATTCCATTATTTGGAGAGTCATTGACGTCAGGGACCTGGACGAGTGCCAAAACCGCCTTCTCTCCGGGCCTGGGCCAGGGCCCAGCCCCCCCATCCTGCGATTTCACAGAGGGGCCCAGAAAGGTCAGCTTACAAGCCAAGGTCACACGGCATCTGCCCTCAAAGGCTGGGATCTTCTTACCTTTTTGGGACCACTGTGCAGCATCCATCTCCTGGGAAGAGGGGATACACAGAGGCCTAAGGGTCAGAAGTGAGGTGGGGGCCTATAAAAGGGGGTGTGCAAGAACCCCACTGGGACTCAGGCTGTGGGGAAGGACTCCACGAGGTAAGGCTGGGGGCAGTGGCTCAGAAAAGTCTACTTAGGGAAGATTTTTTTTCTTTGCCACACACTTATTTTGGAATGTCCTGAAGCTGGACTTGAAATGGTTACTACTGACTACTTAATTTTTATGTAGGCTGATATCAGATGTATCTTCAAACTCTCCAAGAAGGAAATTCTCTGCAGCATAAAATAACAGATTACCCTAAGTGTTGCCATAATTTGAAGAACGGGCACCACTAATTTTATAAATCTCTGTTCCGTATAAAACAGAGACTCTGTCTCCTGTCCATGCTGCCTCAGTTTCCCCATACTCTCCAGTGTCTCCCAGCTCTGTGTCTGTCTTATCAAGATGCAGCTACTGCTACACCAGCCCACACCAGCAACTCCTAGGCTCTGGCTGGATAGGATATTTTTAGGATCCGAACCCCCTGTTCTCAGACAGACATTAATAACCAATACAATTTGTGGTGCCCACAGCAGCTAGACAACCTCAGAGCCTAGCCTCAGTGGCTCAGAGGTGGGGTCCATTGCCTTGGCTAGAGTCCAAGAAACTCTGACCTAGAGAGACCAAGGGACACGCTCACAATCACCTGAGGAGAAAAGGACTTTTCCACCTTCTGAAAAATCCTGAAGCTGGGGAGAGGACAGAAGTAACCTCCAACCTCTGCCACAGAATCAGGGTCATCACCCTGCCCCAGTCTCCCTTAGTCCTGACCTTTCCAAGGAAGAAACCCCCTATCCTCTGCACTCCTTCCCTGACTGCAGGCAAGTCCTTCCTTTAGTCTAGACTGCAAATCATTCAGGGGTTCTTTGAGCCAAATAGGGGTAATACAACAGAGGGTGTTGGATCCAAAGCCACAAACTCCAGAAAGTCCCCTCTCCCCGTGGTCTGTCCCACTCAAGGATTCATTCCTCAACATTTTTTTTTAAGATTTTATTTGTTTGAGATAGAGAGCACAAGCATGAGCAAGGGGTGGCGGGGGGGGGGAGGGGCAGGAGGAGAGGGAGAAGCAGGACCCTGGGATCATGACCTGAGCTGAAGGCAGATGCTTAACCGACTGAGCCACCCACGTGCCCCCCCCTTTTTAAAAGATTTTATTTATCATTTCTCAACATTTATTGAGCACCCAATCCCTGTCAGGTACTGTGCTGGGACAGGGTACAGTAGTGAGCAAAGCAGACCCAGTCCCCAGGTCCCACAGAGCTCACAGGCAATTACTATGTAACCTTGCTGAGTTTTGTGAAGGGTAAGTATAGGTAGTGTATGGTGGGGCATACCGATCATCCCAGGTCTGGAAAAACTCCTGCAGGATTGAGGACTCTTCAGTCCCTTCCTAAACTCCAGGAGCTCTTGCACTGACCAGAAGTCACCATCATAGTCTAGCTTCAGTTCCTTCCACTATAGCGGTAGCCCCAGCTTCTGGGAGCTGGTTCTGCAAGCAGCAGGGTCTAACTTCCCCACATCTGCCCCAGCTCCCCCTTTCACTCCTTGGCCCCCAGAGCTCCTGGCTCTGGTGACCCCCAACCCAGCATGGCTCTGTGCTTTGGGGGCTCTCTGCCTCTATAGACAGGGTAAAGGGCGGTGATGACCTCAGCACTCTCAGCCCACAGGGACCACTTGCTTACCCAGCCCCTCCCCACAGGAAGCTGGAGCTTGGGTGGATGTGGTCACCCAGGGCCACAGTTTACACAGCTGAGGTCTCCCCAACTCCCTTCACCCCATGGTGCGTCTGGAGGAGGGGTCAGCTCTCTTCTCAGCCTCCTTGCTCTCTGGGACCCCTCTCCCACCAAACCAGGCACACATGGTCCCCCCCAACCCATCTGCATTTCAAAGAAAATCTGCTCCATATGTTTTGATTCATTTACACTTCAACTCACCATGGGGGGGCAGAGAGCAGGACGCCTTGGCTTTAAGCCCCCCACCCCCATAGGGGGGCTGGGGAGCATGTGTCCCCTTCAGGGACAGGGAGCTGACACAGCCCAGCCATCTGAGGCTGAGGGCCAGATCTCTACTGCCCTCGGGGTGCCCATGAGGTGACTGTGCACCTCAGGCAGCCCCGACGTGCTGGCCTCCATAATGGGAGGGCATGTAAGCCCAGCAGCGTCTCTAAGGCAGGTGGAGTCCTGGGATAGGTTACAACCTAGCCCAACTCTCCCCCACAGGGCTACTGCTCCTCTAGGGAGGGAGAGAACACTGGTCACACATAGAGACAAGGTAAGCGCTCAACAGACCTTCCAGAAGACAGTGTCAGATATGATATAACTTGGCCCCTACCCCTCCTCTCCAGCCAGGGCAGAGGAGGGGAAGGTGGGTTTCAGTCCAGTCTCCTCCTTCAGCTACCTTCTCACCACAGATCTGGGCTACCATCTCCCTTCGAATCTGAGATCCAACACTGTGGAATGTTCAAAGGAGCCAGAGGTCTACCCTCTTACCAAGTCAACCTTCACACTCCTCCCATACTAAGGATGACTGTGGTGAGAGAAATGTCTTGGGAGGACATGAGTCTTTTTTCCCCTACACCTGATTCTGTTACCACAGAAGGGGTACCCAAAACTATTAAGGGGGATGTACATGGCACGTGGGAGACTCTAAGAGTACCTATCACTCCTGTACCAAAAAGCCACTCAGACCTTCCTGCCAATATAGCCTAGTCTCCTTGTGGAAAGAAAGGGAGAAAGGTTTAACCCTAACTGGGTCAGGGTTTCCCTCCACCCTCTCCATCAGCCCACAGCCCAAGTGAATGACATGCCCAAACATGTATCCCCTCTCCTCCCCACCTTTGGAGGGGACATGTCTTGTCACAGTCTGTTCCTTACCCAACTGCCCTGATACACACCATAAACCAAAGAAAATACGGGTATATTTGACTATGAGTTCCAAGTTTCACTGGAGGGTAAACACCACATCCTAGTTTAGGTTTGAATGTGAGCCCCGGGATGGAACCATAACTGGGTGTGATTCCAAGTGTGAACCCCAGGGCCCCCACGGGGAATATAAAAGTCTTAAGATGGAAGCATAAGTCTGAGTGTGAGCACTAGAGCCTTAGTGTGAGTCTAAACCCCAGGATGGAAGTGAGATTAATGTAATCACCAGGGATACCAGTCTGAGTGTGAACACTGGGTCCCTAAGTGATCCCAGGATGGAAGTGAGAATCTTGCTAGTGTGAATCTGAGAGTGAGCTCTAAGATGGAAGCATGAGTTCATGAATTCCAGTGTCCTATGTGAGTCCTTGAGTTCAAATGTGAGCCCCAGGTTCCCCATGGGAGTCTGTGTGAGCCCTTAGTCTTAATGTGACTCTGAGTATGAGGCCCAGAATGTAAGTGTGACTCTGAAATGAGGACCAAGTGTGAACTCTAGGACCCCTGTGAGATTCTGAGCATCGGCTCTAGGTCTCTATGTAAATCTATGAGCCTCAGGACAGAAATGTGAATCTAAGTGTAAGCCTGGAGTCCCAATGTGAGTCTGAGTGTAAACCCTAGGGCTGAAGTGTAGAGCTGGATATGAGCCCCAGGATTTAAGTGTGAATCTGAGTGTGAGTCCCATTGTTCTGGTAATTCGGAGTGTGAATCCATATGAATTTAAGTGTCCCAGTGTGAACCTGGGTATAAATTCTGAACTCCCAAGAAGTCTTGAATGTGAACTTTAAACTCCTAGTCTTCGTATAAGGTCAGGATCTGTTGGAGTATTAGTCCTGATGGAGTGTGAACCTTAGCTCCATGTCACAATCCTGACCAGGAACCCCAAGAACCAATTCAGAGGATTTGTGTGGGTTTTGACAGTGGAGACAGAGAGGCATAGTTTACTGAGACACATAGGCCCCTCAAGCCCTGGTACCCCTGCAGCCATAGGAATATTCAACTGTTCAAGTCCCATCCCCACATAGGCAATGATACACCATCACACCCAGAGTTAGACACACAAAAATACAGTTTCAGACCCCCTGGACATACAGCAACTGTAAATGCACAAACACGTTCTGCATTTCAAAGTCCCACCTCCATGATTACAGCCACATGAACACCCCCAGTGACACAGACACAAATGTACCAAGTGTTATAAGCAAAACAACTAGTGTTACAGGCACACTCCCACAGTGGCATGCAGATACACACCTAGTGTTGCAGACAAGCTGCCAGTCACACAGACACACGTAGACGCTTCTCAAAGAGAGAGACTAGACGGAAAGGGAAAGAAAATCCTGAATTTTCAACAAGGCGTGAAATAGTCCTGCCCGCCTGAAGCTACTGAAGGGGGGTGGGGGCCAAGGGAGCGAGCGAGTGCGAGAGCTAGCCGCAGGAGGAGAGGCTCGGGAGAGGAGAGAAACCGAGGAGAGCTGTCCGTCTGGTGACCTCCCCGCGGCCCAGCCCCCACGCACCGGGAGATCCACTTCTCGGAGCAACACAGGGGCACCCAAGCCGGCTCACACAGAGTCACCCAGCCGCACTGGGGGGAGACACACATGGGCAGGCTCACAAAGAAATAGGGATACACCTCAAGCGGACTCATACAAACACACGACACAGGAGGTCTTACAAAGAGACCCTGAAGGAAACCCACTACATGGAGATACATACAGGCGGACTCACGAGGAAACCACACACAGGCAAGATCACACCAACACACACACACACACGCGCGCGCGCGGATTCACACGGACACACATACGCTGGCAAACGCGCAACCGTCCGTTCACATCCCTGGGCGCTTTGAAGTCTAGATTTCTGCGGGAGAAGGAAGCCGCCTCCGGGCGCGCGGGGGTCACCACGACCCCCCAGTTCTGGAATTTTCCCAGACCCCGCGCGCGCTGCGGCGGGGTGAGAGAGAATAGGGAAGCTAGGACAATCCGCCCTGGCCACCTCCCCCCAGCCGATTGTCCGCCCCCACCATCACCACGCCCAACCCCCCGACGCGCCCGGGCGCGGGGGGCGGCTTCTCACGCGCCCCCGCCCCAGAGTTTGCGGGCAAAGTTTCCCTCGAACTTTCCCGTTTCCCTCTCCCCCCGGGTCGCGGGCCCACGCGTGCCCTCTCCCTCTTCCCGCGCGCACGAGGGCCGCGGGTCTGTCGGTCCGCCGGAGGGTCTGAGGGTCCGGCCGCGCGCGGTCCGCCGCGGGCGTACTCACCGCGCCCTCGGGCCACCAGGACTCCGCGCCTCGCTCTTCGACCACCCCGGGCAGGGAGCGAGGCACGGAGCGCGGAGCTAGCACCGCTGCCGGATCCCGCTGCCGAGCCCCGCGCCGCGCCGGCTGGAGCCACCGCCTCCGCTGCCGCCGCCGCCGCCGCCGAGCTGCCCGCTCTGCACCGGCTCCTCGGCGCTCGGCGGCTTTAACCCCCCCATCCTCCTCCCTCCCTCGCGCGCTCCCTCCCTCCTTCCCTCGCCCATGTGACCGCGGGCGCCCGCTCGGCCGCGCGCGCCCTCGCTCCCCTCCCCCTCCCGCCTTGTCTCCCCGCGCCTCCGCGGCCGCGCGCCACGACCCCCTCCCGGCCACTGCCCCCGCGCGCCCCCGCCTTGGCACGCTCCCGCGCCTGGCACGCGCGGACACACTCACTCTGCTCAGGCTTGTGAGCCCCCACTCCCACTCGACTCGCGCTCGCACGCACCCTCCCCCCGCTGGCACACTCGCCCGCACTGGCACGCGTGGCCCGCTCACATTCGCCCTTTCCCGGGAACGCCCTCCAGACGGCTGTGGCCCCTGTGCTTCACGCGCAGGCCCGACCGCGGGTCTCAAAAACGCGCGTGCACACGTACCCGCACCCACTCTGCCGGATCCCCTAGGGACGCTGGGCGCGCCCACCCCCCCACTCTCCCCCTCCAGGTCGCTAATTCACACTCCCTCTCTCCCTCAGCCTTGGCCAGGTCTCTGCTGCTGAAAGCTCCCGCTTGTTCAGGCCCTGACTGCCTCGTACCGACACCCTGGCACACCCTGGGCGAATTCTGAGGGTCCTGCCGCCGGCATCTCTGTGGGAGGAGCACGAACCAGAGCCCCCGGGCCCCGTTTTGGTTCCTGGAGGCCAGTCGTCTCCGCCCCTCCCCTATTCCTGCTGCTCCCAGCAATGACTACCCTCCCAGTCACAAACACATACGCTCCCCGGACCAGGATAACCAGGCTGGGAGCCCAGGCCCTCGTCTCCCACCAAGTCTCCGGTGACACCACCACAACTACCCTCGCCTTCCTTGCCCCGCGGGACCTATGGTCTGGGGAGAAACCTCCGCTGGGAAGAACAGGGTAGGGAGGGTACACCCTCTATGCCTGGATGGGCAGTTCCAGAATGCGGGGCACGCGCCACTTTGGCGCTGGAGGTTCACCCCTCGAGTTTTCCTTTCGCAGCCTGGGCCTCTGAGGGACCAGTGTGCTCACTTCACTTGCCCCCGGGACCTCCAGTCTGGCTACAGCATGGGGGATTAAGGTTAGACAACCCGACCAATTTCTGAAGCCACGCGAGAGCGCAACAGAAAGGTTGAATGCCAGAAGCGGAGAACGAGTGGCCCACCCCCATCTCCACCCCATGGATTTTTCACCTGACCTTTGGCCCATAATCCCTGCGCCTTGCCCCTCCTGGGAGCTGGTCCAGGGCTGGGGGCGGGGAGAGGGGTAGGAAATATCTTGCAGTTTCCTCACACCCTTCCCCAGTAGGCTGCCCAGAGCGCCCGGGCCCTTTCCCAAGAAGTGCCTCAGGGACTCCCGTTGCAGAGGAAAAACCTTCTTCCCGCCACTGCCGGGGCTTTTCACTTTCACTTCCGTGGCCTCAGAATCCCCTCAGTGCAACCGGTAGGGGTCAGCCGGGGCTGAGGCTCAGAGAGGGCCGGCTGGGGCTTAAAGACACACAGCGAAATAGTGGCGCCCAGCTGAGATCCCGTCCATCCCCACCCACAGTAAGCGTCCCCTGTCTGGCCTCTCGGGCCCGCAGCCTCCAGACTCCCGAGCCACGGACGAGGACGAGATGGTGGGCACGGGGAACGAGTGGGGACGGTGCGACGAAACTGGGGGAGGGAGGGTGGGGTCAGGAATTACCCCTCCCCCGGCGCAGAAACTAGGCCTGGATGAGGTTGGGTGCTCAGGAGGCCCCGCTCCTCCTCGAGGGGCCGACGGGCGTCGAGATCGGCAGGTCATTGGTGGACCGACTTGACCTCCGGATCCTCCAGTGTCCCGGACACTGCCTCCTTCTGCCAGGTTGAGAGCAGTGGGGAGTTCCGCCCCGCACAACGTCCCCTCTCCACCTGGGAACTCGGGGGCTGCAGTAGCAGTGCCGAAGTCCGCGGGTGCCGGGGCAGGGTCTGCGCGGGGCAACCGGGATCCGGGAGCCGGACATGTCCGTGTGTCAGAGGATTAGCGAGGACAAGAGGCGCACGTCGGACCGGATCCCGGCATCCGTTGATCCTCAGCAACTTCCAGGCGCAGCACCCAGCGGCCGCTCCCGCTTCCCCGGTGCCGCAGCGACATCTGGCGGGCAGTGCGGCAGGCGCGTACCCCCTAAGGCTGTGGATCTGTCTCAGAGGCAGCGCCCACCTACGGAACAACCTCTGAGTGCGGCCCCTTCCCTTCTGCCGCCCTCCAAACCGATTCTGCCCCCGCGCGGGCTGGGGTAACAGATTACTCGTGGGTTTCCGCTCCTGCCGCTGTCAATGCCCTATCCGCCCAAGAGCTTATGAGCTTCCTAAACCTCCGCTGTTGGGCACCTGGGTGACTCAGTTGGTTAAGCGACTGCCTTCGGCTCAGGTCATGATCCTGGAGTCCCGGGATCGAGTCCCGCATCGAGTCCCGCATCGAGTCCCGCATCGAGTCCCGCATCGGGCTCCTTGCTCAGTGAGGAGTCTGCTTCTCCCTCTGATCCTCCCCACCTCATGCTTTCTCTCTCTCTCAAATAAATAAATAAAATCTTTAAACCTCCGCTGTTGAACCCTCCCATACCCCAGGGCCGTGGGGGCAAAGCCAGGCTTCTTACTGGGGTTTAAAAGCCCTTGCAGGATCTGGCCGTGTCTCCTCTCAAGCTTTTTTAAATTTAATATTGTTAATTTAATTTAATTTTAATTTTGTTATTATCTTAAAGATTTAATTTTTTTTTTAAGTAATCTCTACACCCAGGGTGGGGCTGGAACTCACAACCCTGAGATCAAGAGCCACATGCTCTAGGGACCAGGTGCCCCCCCCCCCCAGCTTTATTAGGCACTGCGATCCCCAGCCGCCCTAGCTCTGCACCAGCCCCCTTCTCCGTCATGGTGCACTTATCCCTAAGATAACCCCACTTCACTGACACCCTCCCCCCCCAGTCCTACCCCATCTTCACCCCTCTTCAAGATCTGCCTCTCCCTTGAGGGGCAGCAGGATATAACTCCCTTGTTCGGAGCCCTTCTGCCCTGCAAGTAATGTAGATTCCAGATTTGATAACCCTGGAAGGCCTTGGGAAATTGAGGGAAGTTCTTACTTTGAGTCCTTGGAGTTTTACACGGGCCATGAAAGAGGGCTCTATAGCAGGAATTTTGGCTCCACCCTCCTCCATCATAGCACATGACCTAACCTTGGACCACGCTGTGCCCCTTACTCCCAGGAATCAACTTTGCCATCCCAAGACTGGGTAGCAAGGACCCTTCCCCCCCAGTTCCTACTGATGTGCCCTCAGGGAAGGAGAGTTTCCATTCCCACCTCCTGTGGTCTACCTTTTCTAGTGCTCCTTTGGGAAATGATGCTCTTCTAACCTGCCATACCATCAGGAAGCTCCACTGTGGGTCACATACCTGGCTACCCAAAGTTACAAACACGAAGAGGCTCTCTGTCTTGCCTACAAATGCCAAACGCACCATCATGTCAAGTCGCATACTCAGTCTCAAAGAGTCAAATGTTTCTGTTCAACCTCACTATAGTCCACTGGGAGTCAGGGTCCTCTGCTTGGCAACTGGCAGCTAGAAGCCCTAGAAGGGCAGGACTCTCCAAATCACACACTTGTACGCATTCCCGCACACAGATCCAGCCACACACACAGCCATGCACTCAGTCACACCGAGTGTCACAGAGGCACACGCACAGAGGCATGCACACTCTCAATCACACAAAGTCCCACACTGGGGTTTGGCGGTAGGGGCGGGCTCTGGGAGGCAGTTACGTAAAAGCCCTCATAGCTCCCCCCTCTCGCTCCCCCTCACCGCGCCCCCCCTGCTTCCTCTCGCAGTGCCAGCGCCCGGGGCGGCTTGGCCAGGGACCGGGAACAGCTCGGCCTCGCGGAGGCTCCAGGCGCCGAGAAACCCGATCCCTACACAGCCCCAGGCTGAGCCAGGGAGGGGGGCCCCCTGAGCACCCCCACACACACACACTCAGGGTCCAGCCCGGCCCCCCAGGGAGGACTCACCCCTATTCTGGGACAGCACCTAGGGCCCACTTACAACACTCCTCCCGTGCTGCAGAGCCCTTTCTGGAATCCTGTTATTTGGACCCCTGCCTAAGTGTGCCCTGACCCTGCCAACCTTGGCACCAGAAAAGGGCAAAGATTCCTTAAAGGTAGAGACTAGGAGAGAGCTGCAACTCTAATGGGGAAACCTAAGTATTTAGCTACCTCCACTTCCCTCCTCACTGGGGCCCGCCAAAGCCACTCTGATAGAAAGGGTGCTTTCAGTCCTGCTCCAGTTCCCCCTCAGAGTTGCTGCCTACTGATCCCAACGTATTCTAAATTATTTGGATAGGTCCAAAGCCTCCCCTCCCTCTCTTTGATATCCTTCCTTCCTCCTTAGTTGGAAGTTCTAACAGCAATCTAACCCCAGTTCCTCCTGTTTGGCTAAGAAGGAAGTTTGAAGGCAACCTGAGACATTGAGAATGAAATCCCTGAAAGGAGGAAGGATTAAGGCTCAGGAAACCCCTAAAAAGTCCAGAGTCTAAGAGGAGGGAAGAAAACGTCTGTATCTCCCCCACCCCCCAATATAACCTCCACCCTACTCTGCAGCCCAGACTCTATTTTTCAAAAATAGCTTTTCAGTATTCGCCTGGGCTGCCCAGGCCCAGGCAGAAAGGGAATTTCCCTCTATGTTCTGTGCTAATGAACAAAACATTTCATGTTGAAATTCCTCCTCTGCCCCTAACCCAGTGTCTCTAGGGCCCCCCAGGCTGACCAAGGAGAGGGACCACTAGCAGTGGAGTAAGAGTAGGGGGAAGCCTCCAAGGGGAGCATAATTTACATGGGGGAGCATCTTTTTTCATAAATAATTAGAATGGCTTTTTTTTTTTTTTTCACTTTTGGCTAAAATTACCCACTCCTGTGGCAGCTTCCCAGAAAGGGCGGCGGGAGGGCAGCCGGAGCTGTCCCAAGGCCCAGGACATGGCCCCCCTCCCCTGGGCGAGGAGCTTT